TCTATTTTTATTTATTTATTTTTTTTATTGTTCTATTTCTTCACTCAGACACTGCTGCTGCTGTCACTGATTTGACAGCCAATCTGTGCTCCGGAGTTAAAAGAGAAGCCCCTCAGTTCTTAACATTTAGCTGAGTGCTGTGAGTTAGAAAGAAAAAAAGTACAAGCTTTGGTCCAAAATAGAAGGCGGTGTGCTGCTCTCCTTAGTGGGTGTATGCAGCACGACTGGACAGCAAACCCGTGGAGGCAGACTGTCAGAGCAGGGGCTTTTACTTTACTGACAAACCATAACAAGTGCCACAAACAATTGCTTGATTTTTCTTTTTACTGTAAAGAAAATGTATAAAAATTGTGTCTGTCTAAAGTCTAGAAACATCCAGATTTAGGTTCACTGGTCACAAACTGTCCATGGTATAAACAGGAGTGTGACCCTGTGATGGACTGTTGAACAACAGAATTTTCCTGTCTTGTGCTCACACTGTGTACGGTGAAAACAACACAACACAGACGAGACCAAGTCACCACACTGAGACGTGAAGCACACAGTCAGGAAGAGGAGGATGGAGAGTTGACGTCGCAACCACAGCAACCACATGAACCTTCCATTGTAAGCACACCACACCTATATACAGGTGCCCTGTTTCCTCTGTGCACTCTGCACATTTTAATATGCAAAAAGGGAGTAAGCCTGCACGGGCACGTGAAGCTAGATGGCAGGCAAAAGTTTGAAAAAAAAAAGGAAAAAGAAATCAAAAGGAAGATATACTTGAGAATCCTGCAGCTCGAAGACTTTGAAGTCAGACTTGAACTAGATTTACACACACCCCACCCAAAAAAAAATCCCTAGATATCAGATGCCTGCAGCAGCACCGAGCCACATCAGAGAAACAGGCTGCAAAACACACCAGGTTCATCCTGTTTTGAATTTTTGGGGGTTTTATATGCCACGTGCATGGTTGATAAGCAAAGAGTGGATCATGATCAGCATGTACAACAAGCTGTGTCTAGAGTCACTCAGCCTCTCTCTGCTGAAATAACACTTGGTGCCACAGTCCAGTCTGTATCAACAGTAAATCAATGGGAGAGAGAGAATGTGGCAGGATGAAAAGATGAACTGGTCGGTTTTTATCAGACTTCAGTCTCACTGCTGCGCTGCGGAGGAGAGAACACTTTTACGGGGCTGTGCATGAAAAACACCATCATATTCTTCTGTGAACAGATCATTACATAATCATCCACTCAGTGAAGAATCACTTTGGCTGCTTCCTCCGTGCAGGAGTCACGACACAAACAGGATGTGAGGTTGGCACATGGTTCTATGGTAAATGTTGGTAAATGCACTACACGACCCAACCTTTGGTATTCAGTGTGTGTGTGTGTTGGGTGGCTGTGGAGAGGGTGACACAGAAGGCAGAAGCCAATCACAGTCCATCACAGGGCCGCACACAGAGACGAACAACAGTTCACGTTTTACAGTTATACTCTAACACTGATTCATATATATATATATATATATATATATATGAATTTGATGTAGAAGGAGAGCCACTCACTTTGGTACGAAAAGGTGAAGAACAACCCGTCACATTAATATGACTGCCGTCCAAACAAACTACAGAACAGTGAAGATAAACTATAAAAGTTTCACATTTATGGAGCATCTATGGAATGGCCTCTAGAGGGCTCCTGTCTGACTCAAATGAAACACAGACTTTCCAATGAGGAAAACCAAACCAAAACAAATAAGTGCTTTGTTGCCAGTGCTCTACTACCCCAAACTGTGGTCCGGGGACCGATACCGGTCCATAGGTCATTTGGTACAGGGCCGCAGTGGGACGTAGTGAAAAATTCACTCAATCCAGTCACATCCCTTTACTTTTTTCATTTACAGAGAATCTGGCAATGCTTTTTGAAACAACAGGTCAGACTTTGATCTGAACAGAATAAAGTGTTTTATCTCAAACATTTAATGGCCGACCAGTCCTTGATACAAAAGAGGTTCACACCGCAACCAAATCAAAAGGTGCTGTGATCACATGGTACAGCGAGGGGGAAACTCATGAACGATGACATGTGGCCCGCTGTCACCTCTCCAACCTAAAAGCTTATTTCCATTGTGCTCCATAAAGTGTCTGTGCCCTGTTTCCCTCCACCACAGCACCTCCTTCAGCCTCTCTTCAGAGGACATCAGTTTAAATCTTGCGATGAAGCCGTTGTGGCTGCTGCTATTTTAAGATGCATTAAGGCTCACTGGAAAAAGAAAGGGAAAAAAAACACTTAACTGCCTAATCATTTAAATTATGACTCTATCAGAGTCTGAGTCTGAGCCGCTGTGTTCTGACATCACTGCAGCAGATACATTAGAGCCAACATGACATCATGACTGGTTATAATCGTGTGTCATGTTAGGAGAATAGATGTGTCATTGTGCTCTCAAACTGGGGTCCTCAGGGAGCCCAGCTATGTATATAAATATTTCAGTGTTTTATATCAAACTAGACGGTGTGGCGTGTGTAAACGCACCTTGTTATTTTCCCTCCATTTCTCAGCTATTTCAATAACACAAAGGTTCATACACGGTACATTCAAATGTGCAGTACAGTCAGTCATGTGACAACAACACTGATTCAAATATCAATAACAACATTGTCTGTCAACTCCATAATAATCGTGAGATTCACAACATACTTAAAAGCCCACATAAAAACACTTAAAATGTTATTAAATGTAATCAAAGTCACTGTGGTTGAACAACAGCAGGATACAATGTGTCTGTACAATGTTACTTTCTTCAGCACATTGTTGCGACCGCCCAGCAGTACCTTGTGTCCCTGTAGGGGTCAGAAACTTACTTTTAAAGTCCACTTGAAATGGTTATTCTGGTAAGAGCCGGTACTTTCTTGTTTGTCAGAGTTTCATCCTGGGACCACCACTGCTGTCACAGCTGCAGTGCAATGCTGAATAATTCATCAGACTCAGAATTTGTTTTTCCTTTTTTTACCCCAACAGAAGTCACCTGTTTCACATTGACACATATATACAGTATATATATATATATATATATATGTAGTAAGTATATATATATATATAGAGAGAGAGAGAGAGATAAACCCTGACAGGCCCTCAGTTCTTCCCGCTGGTATGACATCAGCACGTGGTGAAGTAAACATGACATAATATGTATGTGACAGTAAGTCTGTGGCACAAGTGAGTGTGAATACACAGTACTGTAGTACTTCAATCCTGAGCAGAGCACTCAGAGTGTGGTACACGGAGCAGCGTACACTTGTTTTTTCTATATAATGGTGATAATTTGTGACGGGCCAGTGTCCTAACATGCATGACTGATACACACCGTACTTCTCAGCCTCCATCCCTCTGGTCCTGATGCTGCGGCTGAAGGCGTCACTTTGCGGGGAAAGTCTCTCGTCCAGCCAACGTTCCTGTTTCCTCTCCTTCCTTCCTGTTCCTCCTGATGCTCACTCGTCGCCTCCCCCGCTCTCCGCCTCCTCTCGCTCTTCTTCCTTCTAACGCGTCAAACTTGACTGTAAAGTTGTACTGGAGCTACGTCTCCCTCGGTGCTCCTCTGCGGATGAGCAGTACGGACGTGTGGATGTTTACTGATGATGATGATGATGAAGTGTGGAACCTCAGAAGCCGGTGTTCACATGCTGGTGCCGCCCACAATGTGATGACGTCACGCCGCAACTTCTCTTAAAACGTAACTTTTGCTGAAACTATTTGGCGTACGTAGACACAGTGGCGGCGCAAAACTGTTTTGGTTCCCCCAAATACTAAATACCCCCGTCCCCCGGCCCCAACAGGATGTATGTGAAAAGACACAGGTGATGAGCCAAACATTTTAGAGAGCAAACCATAGAACCTTGACCTCAACTAGAACCCAAAACTCTGACCTCAACTTGACTGAAGGTGTCGGCCAGAACCCGGTCTTCATGCAACACCAGACACCTTCAGTTTACATGAGGTCAGAGCTCTTGGTTCTCATTTTAGATCACTTCCTGAAAATTTACTGGAGACAATTCTAAAAGACTGCAATGGTTGTTATTGTTGACTTGTCAGTGCACACCGTTTTTCTGCAGCAGTTCATGTTTTTATTTTTTTCTTCCTAGTTGACTCATTTGGCCTAGTTTCTGAGTGGGAGGTGTGGCTTTTTGGCTGCATTTCCTCCGTGAAGATCACAGCATATGAGGTTGATAATCACAAGCACCAGTTTTGGTGTAATCTGTTAGTGTCAATGTGCTGCATAAAGCACCCCTCCACTTTATTAAATGACTGCTAGACATGTCTTCTCTGCCATTTGGGGCAGATATTGAAAAGTCTGTGCAGACACAGGCCTATATAGAAAAATAAAATAGTAAAGACTTGGTAGAAATAACAGTTTCAATGTTACTTATAAAACGCTTACATGAATGTTTCTGACCCACCGCACCTTTACTTTGTTTTTAACAATACTTTTCCAAGCTGTTGTATTTTGGTTTCATTTGCAATGTTAACCACAAGGGGGAAGCACATACACACTTAAAAATCATAAAGAAATTCAAACTGGTTGTGCTGATTATTGCTATGTATTTGTAACTTTATGGCTCTATCTTTCTCCCCTTCTTTATGCATATGTTTCTGTACACACATATATAATCAATGTAGATATATATGTATACACATGTATATGTACATATATACACATACCAAAACTTACACATAACACTTCTCATAAGTCCAGTTTTAAAAAACAAATTTGCCAAAGCTTGAAAATCAGCTGAACTTGCAAAGTAACAAATATTCAATAATGTAGTGGTTTTTGAGTGAAATGCAAATGCCTTAGAGAAACTTTCATTCCCAATCATGACCATATATATTGGATGGTCCTCCTAACCACTGGTACCATGAAGAACGTCTCTGATGCCACATAGTCTGTGATGCCTGCTGTGAACAAAGCGACAAATACACACAGTAATTGACACAGAACAAAACACACACGCCTCTCACAAAAGTCACAACTTTATTGCACCGCCATAGTTAACTAGAGTGGATAAGAGCCACTTTCAGTATGAAAGGTCTCCGCCTTGGTCAGAAAAGGTGGTGCAAAATAAAGAACCATTGCTGCAAACACGTGAAGAGTCCATTGATACTGGGAAATGTTCCTCTGAGTCAAGTGACAGAGTCAAACCCTACAAACACGTCAGCAAACGAGGGCCGCGGCAGCCGCTGTTTCCTGCTCACATCGACTACAGTGACACAGGGGAGGAGGCTCCTGCATGAAAACAGTCAAACTCTCCTTTTACACAACTAAACAAACACATTTGCAGATAAATTCCCAAATTTCACATCCACCGACTGATCCAAGTATTAGAAGCACATTAAAGATCTTTCTTCTTTTAAATTATATTAGTCATGACATTGAATTCTATATTTTTAGAGCCAATTCAAGGCGACATCTCTAGAATGAAAAGAAATGCGTGGGCATATCTTTACAGCATTAGGAGGGAAACACAGGGAGCACAGGACGGGCTGTACAGTCCTCTACACTGGCAAAGCGGTTTTTGGAACAATGTTAGATTTCTCTTTGCATCTGTGCCGGGGGTTGGAGCGAGATGATCCCATGGTGTCAACACCTGAAATACTTGGTATAAAACCGTTTCTACAGGATGCAAATTGTGGTCCGTAGTATGAAGGGAGAGAAGGGGGTGAAGACAGAGGATGATGGGATACAGAAAGTCGGATTCCTGAGTCCTAGCCCAGTTTGTAGGTGACCAGCGTGGGTGTCAAAATATTGCATAGAAATATTGGAATACAAAGAGGAAAAATGGTGCGACAGTCCCGTTGGAACACAGTGTCCGGAATATTACTTTTTGACCTTTTTATTGGAGTATTTTTGTGAATTACTGCTGAGTAACTGGTGTTGTTACAGTTACTGGAAAGCTCAAACCACCAGACATGTGAGGTGCGGACTGATGGGATGAGCAGCAGTTTACACAGAAAAACAGTGTGGGGGGGAGGAGAGGAAGGGGAGGACAACAAAACCCTCTGGTCTAATTTCCTCCAACAATCACATCATCAATTCTGTAACAGCACACCGCACTGATGTGTTGTTTCCATTAGGGTTAGAGCGTTTATTTGATCGTTGCATTTGTGCTCATTGATGCACTGACATTTGAAAAGAAGGCGTTTTAAGAAGAGAAAACAAAGAACACACAAACAACATAAAACAAATTGCTTGAACGGATTTCAAACATGATCCAATTTAAACCCAAATTTCACCAACAAGGTGGCAAAATTTGATCCTGAGGAAACACATACCAAAAAAAAATCATAATAAAAATATATAGTTTTATTATATCACAAATGTCTAATTATTGTCATTAACTATAATTGAATAAGATCACATCTTAAAGTACCCATCACTGAGCCCTTTAATCTGCAAAGAGATCATCATGAGAGAGCAGATGTATCAAACGTTTCAACAGCTTCAAAAATTCCATTCAACGACTGTGGTTCACGTGGATTGTAAAGTATTGTAAATCCATAGCATCTTACAGTGTCAGGGGAGTCAATATGGCTCAGATAATGTTAAAATACTGTACAGTAGTTCATGTGACATGAATGTGAATGTATTTCTGTTAAATTCTGAAAAACAAAAAAAATTTAAAAAGATGGACGACGCTGTTTGAAGCAATAGGGCTGTCATTTTTCACCTGCTGTTCATGCATCTGGTTTAAATTTGTGGATGAAAGGTCAAATATTGAATTCTAAATTCAGCTTTGACTTTTTTGAAAGGCTATCAAGCAAGGAGAGCACTTTAAGCACAGCTTAAATACCACCATCTATGAATAATTGGATACTATTTTGTTTCACTTCAGGTAAATGCATTAAACAGCTCAATCTCAGCATGTGTAGAGCAGTAGATTTCTGGTTCTAGAATTTGACAACCATAAATAAAGGAACTAGAGTTTGCTAAAGCTAAATAGGCCTCTAGGTCGGAGAAAAAACAGAGAAAGGTGGCTGAACGCAGCCTTTCCTTGGCCATTGACTTTTACCGACTAATATCTCAATGCTGTAGCAGAGGAAACAGCAACAATTAACAGGGGGGGTGTGTTTGTGAGGCCCAACAATTGTCTGTCTTAGGAGTTGAAAGAATTTTTTAAGGAAAAGAAATGACAGCCCTATGTTGTAAATGGATTAAAACGCAATCAGACTTCTTAAATTCACCTGGCCAATAAAGACAAGGGTTGGATTATTTATCCTCGACACTCACACAAGTGTGTGAAATGGCTCTGGAGCCACTGGCTCGTTGCTTTTCTTGAATTTAGATCGGAGTTAGAACTAGATTTTTAAAAAATTAAAAAGATTAAAAAAAAAAAACAAATAAAAAAAAAAAAAAGAAAAGTATAAATGCAGAGAAGTTTGGTACGGTGCCGTGTCTCAATCTCTGGTGAACGTGACATCATCAGCGACGGACACCAAAAACTCTCTTGCCTCCCGGTGTTACGGACCACTTGTTCCTCCTGTCCTGAATCTTCTGGAAGATGCTGCTGCCACTCCTCCAACTCTCTCTTTTATAGTTTTTAACTTTCTTAACCTGCGTAGGTTTGATGAAGACGAAGTAGAAAAAAGGTTTGAAATGAGGAAGAACAAGAAAGAAGACTCCACAGAAACACAGATATTTTTTTGTGGTCTTTGCTCTTCTCACCTTCCCTCTATCAAAGTCCTCGTCCCACTCATCAATCACAGTGTCACTCTTAGCATGGCGGACATCTTCCATGGCGTCTCTACTGATGGCAGAGACGTCTCCGTCCCAGGTGAGCACTGGATCACGACAACAGATCAAAAACAAATCAACACAGCGTTGTTAACGGAAACAACAGTTTCAGACGTCGACTGTTCTTCTTTCTTACCGTTGGTTCCGTAGGCCTTGTCTGCTGCGTTTTTCAGCAGCTCCTCGACCACACCACTGGTCTTCTTACCATCCCAGCCTCCAGACACAATGCAGGTCTTTGTGGTGTCACCAGTCTCACTGCCATTAGATGCTGGAGCTTGGCTGCGTTTATAGCCATCCTTGACTTGGCTGTCCCACTTCACCATTGGAACTGAAGAGAGTAGAAATTTGACATCTGATTACCAACCAAACTGCAAACGTGTGTCTCTACCAGCCAATGACAAAGAAAAGGCAGGACAGAGGATGTTTAAACAATTATTTTGCAAATAGTGAGCATTGACAATACACTCTTTCATTCATGCAACAACAACAACGTCTCTCTGATCTGCTCATTTCTACTCTTATCCATTCTGGCCACTTTTAAATACAATTCTCAGCCCCTTCCACTCCACCACCTCCAGTCTGTCTCCTGCCACAGTCTGACTTGTCTTGGTAATTGAGGTAACAGACCAAAAGGCCTCAAAGATCACATTTATGACATCCACGACGTCCAGACCTGCACGTACCTGTACTTTGTTTGCTCATCTGGCCGTTTTCCGAGGTTTTCTTTTTCGACGGCGTCTCTGCAGGTTCACACTCTTCGCTCTCTCTTTTCCCATCAGAGCACCGCCTGCTCTCCTCCCACTGTCTCACATCTTCCTTTAGCCTCTTCTTCTTTTTCATCTTTAACTTGGTTTTCAGGATGGTGGAATCTGCTTTATCGTTCTTGAGTGCAGCCTTCACCCCAGAGATGCTGTTGGAGAAGTATTCATTTAAAATGTTTGGAGAGGAGATCGTAAAAGAGTAGATGTAGAATCTACTCTAAAAATGAAAAGAAAAAACACAGCGCTACTACTAAATACAACTGTGTGTGTATAGACATTGTAGAAGTTCCTAAAAATATGAGCACATTTTAATTTGGTCCAAAACAGAAGTAAAGCCATTGCAGTTATTTGTTCTGGTTTCTGTTCTTGTTCTGAAAATATAGCACAGCATATTTGACTTAAACCACACTTTAACCATAGTGTTTCTGTGTTGTGATTTGCCTCCTCTTTAAGTTCACCTTTTGGATGAAGAACACGCCGAGGTGGCGGGCTGCAGCGCCTCCACCAGTTGCATCACCTTTTTTTTCTTCTTTTTCTTCTTCTTTGACACCAAACTGTCCTTTTCCTGCTCTTTCACACCAGATTCACACTGCGTTGGAATTGTAGGAGTTAATTCGGGTTCGGACGTCAGACTCCACATGCCACCTTGACACCACTCCTCCTCCTGATTCGTTTTGTCCAAATGAGAGGAGACGCACTCCCTCTCCTTCTCCTCTCCATTTTCAACATCCCGCTTTCGCTTTTTCTTTTTCTTCTTGTGCTTCTTTTCATTCATCCCCACAGGGTTGGTGGCTGCGGCGGGAGCTGGGATAGTCGCCCTATCCGTGTCGACCTCTACTTCAGAATGGCGTCTCTTCTTCCTCTTCTTTTTCTTCTTCTGGCTGTCCTTTGGAGGTAAATTCCCACTGAGGTCCGAACCTTGGCCTGGGTTGTTGAGGTTGGTGGTAGACGTGGGGCTCTTCGGGCTGGGACTGTGATGCCCGTTGGTTTGGACTGAAGGGCCTGCATTTGGTTTGTGCAGTGAGAAGTGAGGGGGCTGTTTCTGAGAACTCTGCTGTTTGAAGGAGAGACTTGTGTTGGCAAAAGGTGATGACTGGACGTTAGGTGAATGAAATGGAACAGCTCTGGGGAGGGAACAGGAGTTCACATGTTAATACACACTGCGCTGATATTGTACTCATTTGTGTGTCAGACTCACACCTCCCTACCTGTAAATGAGAGAAGTTGAGGCAGAGGTGAGGGCAATAGGTTTATTCTGAAGCGTGGGGTTGCTGGAGAGCTGGCGCGACAAAGGGGGCGGAGAATCAGTGTTGCTCGGACTCCGGTTGTGAGCCTGCAGTTATCGACATAAATAAAAACTTGGTGGTCTAAAAAAAATATCCATGAACGTGGCAAAAAAAAATGAGGAAGAGAATCGAATAAGGGGAGGGGATGTTTAAATATGAGGCAGGAAGGGATGAAGAGGAAAAGAAGGAAGGAATGGCATGGCAGAGAAGAATTAGAAATGGTTAGAAAGAAAAACTTAAGAGAAAGAAGACAAACTCTAAAAAGTGTGCTACTGTGTGGTTGATCAGACAGGTACAGCGGAGACACACAGTATTAACATACAGTAGGAGTTCACTTGTCCTAATAAGACTGTAGACTTAGATCAATACTGGGGATAGTAGTGTGGGTGGAAGGCAACAGGAAACCAAAGTATCATGAGCTTCTACAAAGACAGAAAGTGGTACTTCTGTGTGAATGGGGATGACATTTGTTCACCTTCTTGGCTGACAGGGCCAGTTTTTTGGCAGGCGGAGGTGACATAGTGCTGGTGGCTTCAGATGTGATGTTGCCCAGAGCTGAGGGTTTTATTTTCGCTGTCTTCTGCTCCTCTGTGCTCTGTGAGCGCTCCACACTCCTGGCTGGAGACGTAAAACCATTGGAGCTTTTACGCGGGGTGGAGGGCAGCTCTCCTACTGGTGCACTTTTAGGAGAGGAAGATTCCTGACCAAGACAAAGGCAATGATGACAATCCAGTTTATAAGTCGGCCGTCGTTTTAGATGCAGAACTGTTCTGACTAATAACTGTTAAACAAGTGTGAACAGATTACTATAGTCTTTTACAACTGGCCTAACATTGACATTTGAAAATGCAGCTGCAGCATCAAGTGAGAAAAGGTTGAATCTGCAAATATGTGACCAGATGAAATAGCGTTTGAGCTTTTACCTTTGACTCTGTGGTGTCAGCAGAGGACGAGTCAGACAAACACTTGAATGAGGTAGATGCTGCAAGGCCTCTGCCCTCGCCTCCTTGCTTTTTGTCCCCCTCCGCCCTAGAGACCCCGTTGTTGAATGGGGTGGGAGTGCTGCTGCGGGACTGCAGCTGACCCTGGGGGGACGGCTTCTTCAGCTTCTTGAATGGTTCCTCAATCACTGTGGGTGCACCTTGGACTTTTGCCGGACCACTGGACGATGATGTCCAATTAGAAGGTTTGGGTTGTGCCTGACTGCTTACACCATTCCTGGAAACGGGGAGGCCCAGACCGCCATCCACAGACTGGATCTTACGCAATAGTGCAGGCTCTAGTTTCTGTGAAAAGGCAGCCAGAGTTTTGATTCATTCATGTTTTGTAACATGTTGAAAAAAGTAAATGTGTGGCACATAAGTGTTATTTAAATTAATTCTGTTATTAAAATACCTTTGTGACCTGTGGAGAGGAGAGAGGTCCGTTCAGATTGACCCTCTTTATCTGTTCAGATGACGTGCTGTTCTTCCCTGGATGCAACAAAGCCTGTTTGGTGCTGTGTCCATCCGCATTCTTCTTGCTTTCAGGGATCCTTTAATAGACACAGACTCTGCTTTATTGAATTATACTGCATATGGAAGTGGAACAGACCAGACCTTTACTGATCTGCTGCCGACTCCAGTCGTACCTCAGGTAAAACAGCACGTAGGCCTGCTGGTTCAAGACCACTTTGATGTTACTGGAGTGTACCATCGAGTCATTCATCTGGTACCATTGTCCGTTACTGGCCTTAGGAAAAAAAGAAATAAAACAGAAATTCTAATCGGGATCACACACAATTTTACACCGAGGTTTGAATAGAAGGTCAGCAGAGGTACTGCAGGCTGGGGTGAGAAATGTTTGATTGATTTGATCTTTTACCTTCTCTTTAGTATTATTTAAATTTTTTTGTCCATAAAGATGCTGTGCAGACTCACTTTGACGTAGCAGTAGTAGTGGCCAGCGTGACAACTGTACCCAGAGTGCACTAGCACAGCGTAAAGGCCGTACATAACTGGATCGCCTGAGCTCTGAGACATGTAGGGCCGAATATTGAGAAACTCTGGATATCCAACGTCCTGGAAAAAAAAATAAAAAAACATCCGATGGAGTCATTCAACCCTGTGAGAAATATAGGGAGACTTTCAGACAAGCCCAACGTGGGAAATATGTACCTTAGTTATTTTGCCACCGCTAAAGTTAGCGAACCTTTTCAGTGAAAGAGTCAGTACGTTGGATGTCCTGTGTACTGTAAAGCGTTTGGTTGCTGGCACTTTCTTTTTACACCTGTAGACGATGAAACAGAAACATCACCTTCAGCCTCAGTCACTGACCTGTTGGTGTTCTTCTGATCTACGGGATAAGTCACCCACTTGGCACACATGTAAGCATTCTCTCCACTTAACACGTCTGGTTTGACAAACAGCTCCAGGGCTCGCACATAGTTTGCTGCTTGCTGAAAAAAAAAACAAGAAGAAGAAGAAAACATTCAGAAAACATGTTAGTAAAGAAAAAAGAAAATCACCAAAATAATGAGCAATTCTGGCAAAACTCACTCTAATCTCCACAGCAATGTCCAGGTAAGGATCGTACGTGTCAGACACACTCTTACAAATAGAGCATTTTACTGAAAGACATAATGAAACAAGAAATGTGAGTTGCCAGTTTGCTGTTAGCACACAAGCTCAACAGCTCTCCAGGACATATAAGTGATGAGTGTTTTTCGTAACGGAATATCTTGGATAAACTGTCTTGTTTGATACAAGTGTTAAAAATTAATTTCAATATGATTTAACTTGTGCCGTGCTGAATGTTAAAAGTCTTCATAACTGACCACACAGTATTTTAATACAAAAAAAAAAAAAACACACTTTCAGGATTTGTAGTCGACTTAAGCAAATATTCATATCTAATAGGTTATGTTATAATGAAAGCAACTAATAGTCAATACCTCTTGACCTGAGGTAACCTCCAAAAATCTGGTGAACCAGTGTTGTGGCCTGGGTCTGCCTGTCAAGCCTACAGGACAACAATGTAAGTAAAACATTTTTTTTTGTGATAAACTACACTTTCAAAACAACAGTGGAAATGTCTTACTTTGGGTAGCCATTCAGACAGGCTTTCTGCATGGCATCAATGGTGTACCGCAGAAACTCATGGGCATCCTCCTGGCTCCCAAAGCGAAAATGTCGGGCAATTTCTGCAAAGGAAAATGGTAGACTTTTGTTCTTGATTGAGACTAATTAAAGATCTAATATTAACCAGGTGTGTTTGTTCCCTATTGATGGGATAATCACTTTTATAAATGTATGTCACATTACATTAATTGTAATACATAATGACATACATTTGTGTTCAGCCAGAAGATAGTACTCCTCCAATTACATTTTAGAAAACAAACAAAAAAAACCCAATCTGGATTAAGACAAGTGAGCCAATAAACAGGAGTGTATGTAGTTACAGTTGTAGACAATATAGTTTACTTAAACAGTTCACACTGTAGCATCTAAGAGGAAATTATGACAGGGTTTTTTAACATTAAAAGATGTAACACATGACCTACAGGAACATTTACAATTAGCATCAAGGTTTTAATAGTTCTTTGTATTCAGTTTGATGGAAGTTTCCAGTTGCCCTATAATGTTGGTGCTTCCAATAATGATCCAATAAAAAGCTGAGAGTCATTTAGTGACTTCAGCAGACTGATGTCTCATCTAAGAGTCTCACATTAGCGCTAATGTAGCTCTGAGCCCTTAGCTTCATCTTGTATTTCCTAATGGGAGGAAAGTATGAGCTGGTAGTATTATAATGTGGTCATCACCACTTTCCCAGCTCTGCGTCATCACAGATTTATGACAGTGGGTGAAATCTGAGTGGGGAAAAACCAGGAAGACGCAACACACTATTGACCAGCTTAGACCTCTTCCCTCAAAAGCAGAGAACCATACCTTAATGATGGTGGAGGTTTCACTTTGAGAGTGGGTTCCTCTGGAGTAACTGCAGTAAGCTCTTTGGAGCTTTTATGTGATGACAGTGCACTGTTATTGTGTTTTTGTGTGGAGCCAGCATGCTGAGCACAGATGTGAAATTTTCAGTGCATGCATTTCTATTGATCTGGCTGCAGTATTGCATTTGTAGAGAGATATTCTGAAAACACACACTGTATTGTTTTGGTGTGTTTTTTTTTCAGTCATGTTTTTTCAGAAGTGAGAGGTGTCTGTGTTTGTGCCAAAATTGCTCCTTGTAGTCGCCTGCATTCACAAGGAGATGTAGAGGACATTAAAAACGGGAACGAGAGGGCATGAAAAAAAGGAGGTGTATGAGGTGGAGACTTGTTTGCTGCAGCAGCAGCAGCAGCAGCAGCATATATGGAACTAAAAGGCAGGCAGGTCAAACTCCTGCGAGAATACAGCACAATACCTCACCGTGTCAAGGTTTAACTTGCAGCTCATCCTGCTGCTCTCTACATGATGCTCTATCACACTGCAGCATCAATGCTCCACTAAAATGCTGCATTTAGTGAATCTTAGACGTGTGGAAAACTGCACACCGCTGTACGTCATAGTGACGCCGGAAATATTCAACCCCAGGAAAATAAAGGAAAGCTGCAAATGCTGTTGTTACACAATTACAAGGGCATGTTAGGGATAATGTGGTTCTTACTTTTCAGCTCTCTGATGAAGGAGACAGGCTTGATGGCATTGCCTGTGTTGGCAAAGGCTTGGATGATGTGGTTCTGCATTATACAAATCATACAGAAGCCCGACTGGTGACCTGGAACACACAATGGCAAAAGAATCTGTGCAACTTGCAATGTCAAAGCATGTCACTGGAGAAACTGAGTTATAACCCAAACCAGATGGTGTCTCTGTTTGTCTATGTTGTGGTTCTGAGTAAACACTAAAAAAAACAAAAAAAAAAAACAATGGCAATGACAGACTGCATAGCATGCACTTCATCATCCATTTATTGTTTTAGGTTTCATACATCAAGAAGACAATACTTACAGGCACGGCTGTGCTCCTTTGAGAGTAAGTAGTTTGCCAGTGGTGGGGTGTAGGTGAGACACTGCACTGTTGAGTTGAGGAAACAGGTGTTTCCTAGGTTGTGGAGGCCTGCTCCGACCCTGTATACACGCTCCCATTTGAGGGCAAGTTTGTTCCCTGGAAAGAGCATCTTTTGTGGGGCGGGAATCCCATCACTGTGGCTCCCAACCAGGTTCTCTGAGACTAAGAGGGAAACACAGGTCACTTAGAGGAAAACAAATCTGAAGCAGCATGGAGAAAGTGGCCAACTGTTAACCCTCACAGTCTTCACTCCGGTTCAAGTGCTTACCTTGCCTCTTAATTGGCAGAGGCTCTGTGACCTTCTGTCCTGTGGCACCTTCATTCCTGGGGTTGAGGATGACATACTTGTTCTTTAAGCTGTCCAGCTGATAGGAGAAACCCTTGCTGGCAGGCTCAAACTCTATCTTCTGCAAAAGGACCTTCTTGGCAGATGAAGCCAACAGTTTATTGAGGTCGCCCTCATCGCCTGTCTCCTTTCGGCCTGGTTTTAGTGCCTCTTTGAGTTTGTCCACTATCGGCATTGTTTGACCATCACTGCAGAGGAAGACAGACCAGGAGTCAGTGATGTCACACAAGACTGCAAAAATTAGTAGAGATCCAGTTTGTGTTTTATTCTTTTGTTCCAAGGCGACTAATGACTAAATGGTAAACAAGGTTGCTTTTCACTAGATTTATAATGTGATTGTAACTTCTGAAACTAAAATCATAAAACACGTCAGGTTAGTGCAATTGTTCATTCTCAATTGATCCCAGGTGTGAGTGTGAATGAATCGTTATCTCTATATGTGGCCTGGTGATGCCCCTGCCCTCCCCCACTCAGGGTGCTAGGTTTATAGGTTAGACGATGGATGAATATCGCCATGGCCGGTCCTGATGACATGAGACCAAACAGATGATCATACTCACTGTTTATACCTGATCTAAGTACTATATGAACAAACCTTTTCTAAATCTTTTCTTCATCACAAAAGTATTAAATTAGCCCCGCTGCTCTGTGACTTTAACCACCCCCCTGTGTTTTTATTCAGTGGCTACATCACCCAGACACATATTCTGACGTGGCTCTGCAACTGTTACCAGGAGCCAGCTGGGTCTTGGCAGATGTCCTCACAGTTATGCAAGACATCAGATGTGGGGAGCAAATGGGTGAGGGGTGGGTGTGTGTGTGTGTGTGTGTGTGTGTATGTGTGTATGTGTGTGTGATATGTGTGTGTAGAGGATGTACTAGTAGCTGCTACCACTGTAAAGGCAGATTTCAACACCTTCTAAGTTCCTCTAAAATTGTTGACATTATTGTCTTAATACTGCAAATAATCAAATACTTCAAAAAGGTAAAAAAAATGTAATGTATGATGTACCTTTAAATCCAGTAAAGAAACAGCAATAGAAAACTGTTCAAGGTTAGATAACGGTATAAACACATTTACAGAGCCTCTCTCTGCCTGAGCCTTGTGAATGACATCAGATGTTATTTGCTACAAAAGGAAGCAGAGTGGCTGAACATTTTCACCTATCAGGGGGATTAAGTCGCAGTTTCCTCTGAAACAGTAACAGATTTTATCATGTACAGTACAGGGCTGCAAAGACCAAAGTCACCGAGAGCCATGTGTGCCATGCTCATCAGAGCGGGCAATGACGTCACGAGGAGAGGAATAGGGCTAAAATTGCCATTGTGTGGTGCAAGGTCACACTGCCCTTCATGAGAGGATACAGATATGGCAAAAACGATACAGCACTGCATGTTACGGCTTACTTTGGGGATGCAACTGCTACACCAAACAAAAATCTTTACATGCTTCTCAAAACACACACTGATGCCATTAGAATCGGATATCGGTTTATTATATACACGTCTCATGTTCAAAGGAGCTGAGTTATCACACTGAGAAGTCACACTTACAATGCACACAAACATATATGTGTACATGCTGACAAGTTCTTCAAAAGGGTCTATTCACTGGCCCACAGGTTTCACAAGAAGACTTTGAAAACCATACATTTAAACACTTGAAACTCTCAAATGATTGAAACCAAACATAGTTAGTGTGCACTACAATCCTTATCAAAATTTGTAAGGACCCTGGAAGTAGCATTCATTTTATGCATTAATTTCTTAAATATCAAATTTTGCCTCCAACAACATTTTCCCTAAATGTTAATAAGGCTGACTGTGCAAAACAAAAACAGCCACGTGTTAAGCCACACAATTGTTGTTTAATTTTTGGTGGACATAAAATATTAAGCGCATATTGAGAAAGTCCAAACCACTGCAGTTAAAAAACAAACCTATACTACATATAATACAGAAATATAGATCTTGTCTAAATTGTTGCAATTGTTACAACTGCCATGCACTACCTACATGTGCAAGTCTGTTTTAGATGACAGTGGTTACTCTGTTGTCTTAAGTGATAGTTGCAGTGTAGCTTGTTTTTTGTGGAAATGGATGAAAAGTGGATGAAATAATCAAGTTGCCACCCTAAACCACACAGAACAAAAAAACATTTTACAGTTGTTGCACAGATGATAAATTAGACTCAAGTGGCAAAAACATTCAATACAAATGTTTGTTTACAAAAATGTCACAGTCTGAATTTATGCCCCAGCATACAAAAATTATTTCCTCTCTTGGGTTAGCTTCTTTTCTTCACCTGATAAGAAAATGACCCACTGCAGGTAAATGTATATTTCTGTTTGAGATCCATTTACCCTGGATTAGCTTCTATTTTCTATTACAAGCCTCTTCAACTGTCCAGACATGGGACCAGTACTAGGCCACTGGGTCATTATGGGTAATTTGGGCTTGAGTGTCTTGCTTAGTGATATGAAACCTAGTTCAGACAAGACCACTTAATCCCTATATAAGGGAGTTGAAATAGTCTATTAACCAATAACACATAAATTGGCATAAGCATGCATTTCTTTTTTGTTTGTTTGTTTGTTTAAACGTATTGAAACACATCTTACTAAATGATTTTTGGATTTTGGCACAAAATTGTAGTTGTGTGTGAGGCCCAGAAAGTAAGAGAGCTCAGCAAATTAGCTAACCCAGGAAAGCATAATCCCTGATGATTTACATGTATAGAACATAAATAATACACACATTGCATGTACTGATATCATGACTGCAGCAAAATCCTTCTACTAAAACATTTACCTGGACCACATCAGCAAGCAAAGATCAAAGAACTATAAGGCAGTCAATGCAACGTGACGTTTTACTTGTCAACACACACACACAAAAAACGTAAAGAAAGATTTAAGGGCAAGATAACCTAATGATATGACACAGTGGACATGAACGACGCGAAGTAGCTGATCAGCCTATTTAACACCAACTGGACTTACCTCTCGGGCCAGTCAGAATAACACAAATGTGGGGCTGCTAATATCAGACAGGGCTAGCGTCGACCTTAGGTTAACGTGAGTCCCGACAAAATAAGTCGTCGCTATTTTGATATTTTGATATTCACTTATGTGGCTTTTGCTGCCAATGACAGTATCGTGCGTTGGCCCTTTTAGCGCTTCACTGGAGCTGTAGCGATTTAGCATGTAAGCTAAAATGCTAGCCGCTGTTTAACGTGGCGAGAGCCTCTCACTGCTGCAATGTGGCTTAGCATCTCGCTAACCTTCCTTTACCGTAGCACGTTGCCCTGTTTTGTGCGAAAACAGCACCATCATGGTGGTAAAAAATCCTCTAACATATTTTGACACATTAAATCAACAAGTTCTTGCTCACCTTTCGCTCAGTCGAACAAAATCGTTGACAGAAGTCACCTCAGCTGTAGCTTTTCGCTCTGGTATTTTCGCCCATGCTGCATTATGTGAGGGCGGGGCAAAGATGACGATTGGCAAAAGTATGTGACCAATTACAAAACATGTCGTGACGTAGATGGAAATTTCCTTCAATCAGCTCTCAGAAAGGACATCTCTGTCGGCAGTGGACTACACGTGACTTGGAGTCAGTGCTGTTTACCACGAATATTTTGCACAAAAAACATGTAACGAATGATAAATGTGGCAACAACATAACGCCGAAACATTAGATGTTGCATTTTATGTTTGTATAGTAACATAATTTCACAAGGTTACACATACAAAAAAGAAATCGTAATTTGAAAGGGTGCAATAATACTTTGTTTGTACTGACCAAACAGAATTATTATTATTCTATTCAAAATCTCTCTTTCACCTTTTTAAAACTATATTTATTTAAACAATACAACGACGATTATGTCGCTTTGCACTAATTTTTTTTCAAAATTAAACCATATCTGTTTTATTGGTTAATGTTTTTATACGAGTTAATCTTAATACTATTTTATTCGATTTTAGTGGAATTAAATACCACTTGTCTAGATAAGTGATATATTGAATGTTAAATATATTAGTAGGCTTCGATTAAATCTTATCTCGTAAATATATTTAGTGTATCATTTTTGTCCACCAGATGGAAGTAAACCACGTCGCTTCCCTTTATTTAATCGTAAATTAAACCAAATTAAGACTTTCATTACACAACAACAATAATTATCATGGACTGTTTTAAGTATTCACCATGTTCTTTCTTTATTTTTTTACCAAAACATTTCTGAACCTACTCCATTTTGTTAAAGAAGCCTAAATGCATAATTAATACATTTTTGTTAAAATATTTGATTTTCCCATCTCCATGTTAATTAATTGGTTTAAAAAAAACATTTCAATTGATTACTTGAAATATAGAACGTCTTTATTAAAATATGTGAGATGATACCAAGTGTTATCAATAAAATAAAATAAAACATTTTAAAAACTAATTTGATCTTTGTTTTCTTTGTTTTCTTTGAAGTTCATTCCTGTCAACTCAAAGCAAATGAAAACCAAGCGTAAAACATATATTTTTTTGGAATCAGCAACATTAAATGTATTAGTCTCAACAAGTTCCTCATGATCTATAATAAAAGAAGCAAAATTATTTTAATTCCCCTAAAATAGGTAGACAAAGCAGGCCAGGCGAGAAATAACATCAACCTGACAGTAGAAAATGATTTTCAACACTTAAAAATATCTGTAACAATAAGAAAATATTCATTGGTTGTTTCATTTAAAGATTTTACTATAATGGCACCCATTTTTAACACAACACAATTATAACTTGGAACACATTCTTTTCTTTTCTATTAATATCATTATTGTTCTCATATTGTTAGCTGCTCAAGAAGTAGCTGAACACAAAGTGGTTTCAATATCAGTCACGATCTTTGGAAAAGTGCTGATAATGTAAATCAAAAGAGTGAAGAATGAATCCTGCCACCAGTTTATAATTGTGTTCAAGCCCCGTTCATAAACAAACCAATCAGACCTTAGACTAGTGTACCAACTGATGGAGTTAAACCCGTGTCTACGTCTGTTGTGGACTAGTGTACCAGGCACAAGTGTCATCATCCCTCTTGATGCAGGAGGAGTGATCGGCCTGTTGTTGAACACCAAACACCATGTCGGTCCACACACACATCTGTGGGTCTGAGCTCTCACAGGGCAGCGTGAAGCAGGTCTGAATCTGATGAATAAAAAAAAAACAATCAGAAATGTAATTATTGAAACAACTTGATTTTCTCAAAGACAATCTGAATGTGGCAAATATTGTTGTTGTTTTGAGTCTTTCATCTGAGACTTCCCTACCGTGCATTCACAGCCTTTTTCGTAGTGTTGAGTCACACCCAGCTTTTGAGTGTCAGTCAGGCTGTTCCATGGTACGTTAAACCCACACAGTGAGATGTGCATCCCATCACTATCCATGTAGCCTGAAGTGAGGGGAGAGTCGATTAGTGAATGTCAAAAGTAATGACACTATATACAGACGTGGACAAAATTGTTGGTAACCTTCTGTTAAAGAAAGAAAAACCCACAATAGTCACTGACAATTTTGTCACTGGACAATTTTGTCCACGTCTGTATTAGAGATTATTTTAAGCAGTACATGCAGCTGTTTAAAGGAGGGAGATTCAGTAAAAAAAAAACCCTGTAATAATGTGTAAAAAATCAGTTACAGAGAAACAGGAAATAAATGCTGTTCAATTTTTCAAATTCATTTGTATCTCTGTGTTTACACTCCTGAAGGCATCGCTTAAACAAACATTGTGTGATGATATTGGTGCATCCAGGAGTCAGTCCACAATGTGCAGATATGCCAATGCGCAAAAAGTTATTACAGTAGACATCATAAGGAAGTAAACACTTAGGTCACCACCTCTCTTTTATTAAACAAACAAGAGAGAAAACAAATAAAAGTCTGTTCAAACTGACAACAGATTTGACTACTTAATAAAACTGGAAAATCAGGATGATCTGGGTCAGTGCTGCCTACTAAGTAGATCATAACCTACCAGTGTACCTTAAAGGGAGTGCCAATAGATCAGGACCAATTAAAATAAAATAAAATAAAAGGTATATATAATTATAATTATATTGTGTGTAGTAGTGACCATATAACGTGATCATTTAATCACACTGAACCATACAGCCACATGCATTTCATCAATACCCCAACATATATTGTTTAGATAAAGTATACTGTATAAAGTATGTGAGTAAATATATATACTGGATACTCGTTGTCAGTGTAGGTGGATCACTTTGGCCTGGTCATTGGTCACAAGTAGCTCCCAAGCTAAAATAGTGTGGACATCCCTGCTCTAGAGCGTACACACAGTACCACGTCCATGTCTGTGTAGGTTCTCAGTCATCCAGGACAACTGGACGGAGTAGGTTTCGTGAAGATGTTTCACCTCTCATCCAAGAGACTTCTTCAACTGAAGAAACTGACTCGTGGTCAGCTACCACAAAACTTAAAATGGTGACCTTTGACATGACTCTTTTGGTTGGTGTTGTGTTTTTTTAAGGTACCTGAGAGAAGATAGTCGGTGCCAGTCTGCAGACGTACTCCACATGTTGCTGAGGAGTACGGGGTGAAGACAGCATCGACTTCCTGGCATTCTCCCCTAAAGATCTATGATTTTCAGACATAAAGCAAACTGATTGACACGCTGTTAGCTGAAGTAACTGTTTAATGTGATGAGTAAAAAACACCTTTATACCTTGGGCTTCTTGATGATATATTTGATGGAAACAGGAAATGTGCCATCATAAACAGTCTCCTCTCCAACTACCTTGGCCTTGATCACTGAAAAACAACACATGTTGTGTTTAGCATCAAACCTTTGTCAGTCAGAGATGGCTAACCATCAAATATTAAGAAATAGCTTGAGGTTAAGCTTAATTTCATAGTTGATGGTTAAATATTCTACAAGATGTAGCATAAAGTTAAACCAAATAGAGTAATCAAAAGCTAGGACTTGAACAGGACCAGTCCAGCAAGTTGGGAACAAAAGTTAGCATAGAACTACCTAAAAACTATTCCAACAAGGAAATAAAATCTGCTCCAGGTCGGAACTGGCCTCCAAACCGATCTTTAGACACACCTGTCTGAGGTTACGATCACGTCAGCACTTACATGTTCTCTCCAGATCACAAAACACATAATTTATTAATTAATCTGTGGTGCGTTTCAAAGAGTACATGTAGTTGGTACGTCCTTTGAAAATGCCAATGACAACACATGATTTCACCATCTATTGTTTTCACATGGACAATTTATTTAATATGTCCATTAAAAGAAATTCACCTGTTAACTGTCACAGTATAATTCACATGACTCACAGATATTAAATGTTGGCCTGCTTTGTCTCAAACACGGACACGAGTCGTTTACCGATGTTTGCTTGATTTTTTTATTTCATTTGGACTTCGGACTCTGTTTTGCCTTTGATAATGCCGTATTACTAACTGCCATTACCATGCCCTCTGCTGACAGTTTCTACATGTATATACAGTATATATATATATATATATGTATGTGTATATATATATATATATATACACATACATATATATATATATATTTCTGATGCAAGTTTTATTTTATTTTGTTTTATATTTTGTCCGCAATGTTATTATACAAATACTGTGTTGTAACTGAGGACAAAGTAGAAGTATCACCAGAACTTTTAAGTCGGGTTATTGTTAGCTATTGTTAAGCCTTGCTAAAACTGAAAACACACCCGGAGTCAATTACAACAAGTTCTTCTGTTTACAACTAAATACACAGTACTGTGGGATAAATCAGCATTAAACTACTTACTTTGTTTCGTCAGTGAGTGATGTGACTATCTTATTGACAAAGAGTCATCAGTCACCAGCTTTGCTTTATGGGTAAACTCTCCAGAGGTTTAGTTTAGTTTTAGTGGGACAAGTGCAACGCAATATGAACCACAGACATTTACTCTAACTCAAGTTAAACCTTAAAATAGAACAGTGTTCTCTAAACTAGGATGTGGCTAACATTTACTGTATGTACAATGTACACGTAGACTGCTGACAGTCTGTACGTCATTGCTGTCTGTGACCATTTACATTCCATAAACCTGTACTCTCTTGAACTCAAACTACTCTTAAAAAGTATCATTAACATAAAAAAACCAAATACAGCAAAATGAACATACATTTAAAGACAACATACCCACGTCCGAGTTACAGAATTGCCATTGAGGATGAACTTGGGAGCATCTGCAGGCTTCTGCTGTTTCTTCCAACCCCCCGAGGAGGAGGACGGCCAGAGTGAGGAGGATGATGTTCAATGCCCTGGTCATCTTTACAAAAAAGGACGATGAAGAACGAACAGAGAAGCTGAATAAAGTTAAACTAAACTTAAACTAAAATAAGTTTAAAGTAAAAGATGCAGAGAGGTCTGAGACTGTCTTGACACCTCCTCCTGATTGGCTGCCACTGTGAGGAGCAGCTGCCCTTTTACACTCTCGGCTGCAGCAGACTCCTCCTGCTGCTCCCCCTCTTCTACTGTTGCTCCTCCTGCACAATGTCACATCAGCTGAGTAAGACTCCCCCACCACTGTGGGTCACACACACACACACACACACACGTCCTAATCGTAGCTATTACAAATATGTGTCTTATTTCAATCTTTAATATAATTAACTCACCTTAAAGGAGGGAGGGGGGACTTTTGGGAACGGTAGGTTCCCGAAAGTCAGTGTAGATAAAATGAGCTGTTTTAACTGATAACTATAGCTAAAATAGAGAGAAAACCAGTCAAGTCAAAAAACCTTTCAAAAAGTTAAAAGTTAGCAAATGAAATTACAAACAAAACTGACTTAAAACAGCTAGAAATCAGTCAGTCACTCCTTTTAAAAGCCTTCGTGAGAACTTTTGGTTCTCATTCAATCATACAAATTGTTGGATGTTTCTCATTCAAATCTTTCAACTTCCTTAAAAAAAGCAGGTGTGGAGTTATTATGTCTTTGTGACAGAGCCATCATTCAACAATGACAACAACAGGGACACAAACTACCTGAGGACTGAGTCATTGGCTGACACCACATGATGAACACCACCCAATAATTTGGAAAATATTTATGAGCGATTCATTTTAATACAAACAAGGGCATAAAGCCGTTGAATGTGAGAAGTCTTCACTAAGTTTAAAAGGTGTTTTTGGTCTGTCACAAAATCCTCAAACTGTTCTGGTAATTGTCCTGATTTGCAGCAATTACACTGTGTTTTTGTCCATTATTGTGATCTGTACTGTGTGTTGGAGAATACCAGTCGATCAGAACAAGTTATTCTGACACCAGCGACCAGGGCACTTGGCTTGACTTCGTACGTGACTGTTGTGTGGATGTAGGTGGATGAATCCTCAATCTCACACGGTAGCAAGGAACAGCAACATCTTTATTATTTTTCCGTAAAACACTTTTTCTTCTCCCCAGCAAATTCATATACTGTCGCCTTATTCTACAGCGCCCTCTGATGACCCTTATACGAACAGGTAACTGAACACAACATTGACCAATTAAAAAACAGCCTGAATAATTTAGCTACTTTTACATAGATGATTTATACAATTATGACTTTCTTTCCAAATTATTAAAATGATGCATGTACCAATTACACAGTACTGTATCCTACAACTACATTGGATAGCATGACAAAAAACTAGAACAGTATAATTGTTCTTTACTTCTAATAGCCTAAAATATAAAATACAAAAAAAAAACTTTTAAAAAATGAGGCAAATGTGACTAGAAAATTGGGCTCAGACGAAACATAGCCATAGGCTACAAAAATCGAACATATATTTTAATGTTAGCAATTGTAAATAATAATTTTTTCCATTGGATTTTTTTCAGTATTCATCAAGTTCTTTAGATTTTTTCTTTTTACCAAATTCATTTCTTTTTGGTTAAACAAGCCTAAATGCATAATGAATATGTTTTTGTTAGAATACTTGACTGCTCCTCTTAATTTTAATTAATTGGTGTAAAAAAAGACATTTCAATTGATTTCCCAAATGATAAAAGGTCTTTATTAAATGCTCATATCGTGACAAAGTGCAGTGCAGAGTTAATACCCTTTTCTACGTCTGTTTTGGACCCTTGGACTAGTGTACCAGGCACAAGTGTCATCATCCCTCTTGATGCAGGAGGAGTGATCGGCCTGTTGTTGAACATCAAACGCCACGTCGGTCCACAGACACACCTGTGGGTCTGATGTCTCACAGGGCAGCGTGAAGCAGGTCTGAATCTGATGAATAAAAAAAACAATCAGAAATGTAATTATTGAAACAACTTGATTTTCTCAAAGACAATCTGAATGTGGCAAATATTGTCGAACAGAATGATCAAACAGAAGTATTGTTTTCATCTGAGACTTCCCTACCGTGCATTCACAGCCTTTTTCGTAGTGTTGAGTCACACCCAGCTTTTGAGTGTCAGTCAGGCTGTTCCATGGTACGTTAAACCCACACAGTGAGATGTGCATCCCATCACTATCCATGTAGCCTGAAGTGAGGGGAGAGTGGAGTAGTGAATGTCAAAACTAATGACACTATATATTAGAGATCATTTAAAGCAGTACATGCAGCTGTTTAAAGGGGGGAGACTCAAAAAAAACTGTAATAAATCAATAAAAACAGGAGATAAATGCAGTTCAATTTTTCAAATTCATTTGTATATCTGTGTTTACACTCCTGGTGTTTTACAGTAGTGAAAACAGTTCAATGGACGATTGCTCTCCTCCTCAGTAACCAGGCTCCTGAAGTGACTTTCGACATGACTCTTTTGGTTGGTGTTGTGTTTTTTTAAGGTACCTGAGAGAAGATATTCGGTGCCATTAGTCTGCAGATGTACAGCACATAACCCATCGAAGTACGGGGTGAAAACTGCATTGACTTCCTGCCATTCTCCCTTGAAGACCTGATTTTCAAACACAAAGCAAACTGATTGACACGCTGTTAGCTGAAGTAACTGTTTAATGTGATGAGTAAAAAAACACCTTTATACCTTGGGCTTCTTGATGATATATTTGATGGAAACAGGAAATGTGCCATCATAAACAGTCTCCTCTCCAACTACCTTGGCCTTGATCACTGAAAAACAACACATGTTGTGTTTAGCAAAAGATCATTCAGACTGTCACAGAAACTGGCCCTTGTCCAGCTCTGACATGCTGAAGGTGCAGTACTGTACCATGGAGCATTTATTGTGTTTGTACCTGAGGGAAGAATTTTACTGTAAACCATTTAAAATGTTCAATCTGTGAGAAGTGCAGTGTAAATAAACGATGACTTTATTGGAAAATATTTATTTAACTTGAGTGACAGGTCATCTATCTACAGCCTGAATAATTCAGCTACTTTCACATAGATGATTTATACAATGATGATAGTTGGAACACACCCTCCGGTCCTTATGTAACATGTAAATATGTAAAATTTAAAAATGTCCTGACCTCCTTGCAGTACCCCTGTGGACCCACTGGGGGAGTGGACCCACTATTGAGGACTTTTGCATCAAACTAGAATTAGGTTCTGCAAAAAAGCACTGCATTTCAACAAATTAATTCTGGCTTTGCTTTTTCTGGACCATTTACATTCCATAAACCTGTACTTCAGACACCACAGATTTGTTAAGTTTGATGAAGTAAAATTAAAAATCCACTCTAAAAAAGGATCATTAACATAAAAACCCCAAATACAGCACAATAAACATACATTTAAAGACAACATACCCACGTCTGAGTTACAGAATTGCCTTTGAGGATGAACTTGGGAGCATCTGCAGGCTTCTGCTGTTTCTTCCAACCCCCCGAGGAGGAGGACGGCCAGAGTGAGGAGGATGATGTTCAATGCCCTGGTCATCTTTACAAAAAAGGACGATGAAGAACGAACAGAGAAGCTGAATAAAGTTAAACTAAACTTAAACTAAAATAAGTTTAAAGTAAAAGATGCAGAGAGGTCTGAGACTGTCTTGACACCTCCTCCTGATTGGCTGCCACTGTGAGGAGCAGCTGCCCTTTTACACTCTCGGCTGCAGCAGACTCCTCCTGCTGCTCCCCCTCTTCTACTGTTGCTCCTCCTGCACAATGTCACATCAGCTGAGTAAGACTCCCCCACCACTGTGGGTCACACACACACGCACACACACGCACGCTCACAGAAATGCCTAACACATGACACAGACACAATGTCCTAATCTTAGCTACAATGATCTGTCTTTTTTTTATTCTAATAAACTCATAAGGTGGAGGGGGACGTTCGGGAATTGCAGGTTACTGAAAGATAAAATGAGCTGTTTTAACTGATAACTATAGCTAAAATAGAGAGAAAACCAGTCAAGTCAAAAAACCTTTCAAAAAGTTAAAAGTTAGCAAATGAAATTACAAACAAAACTGACTTAAAACAGCTAGAAATCAGTCAGTCACTCCTTTTAAAAGCCTTCGTGAGAACTTTTGGTTCTCATTCAATCATACAAATTGTTGGATGTTTCTCATTCAACTATTTCAACTTCATCAATAACAGCAGGTGTGGAGTTATCATGTCTTTGTGACAGAGCCATCATTCAACAATGACACAAACAAGGGCATAAAGTCGTTGAATGTGAGAAGTCTTCACTAAGTTTAAAATCCTCATTCTGTCGTCTTCACCAAGGAGTACTTTATTTTGTCTACTTTTTATGTAATGATAATATTGCATGATGGTTATTCAGTCAACCAGAAATAAGAAAAGAGAACATTCTTAATAATAAGTTTGATCCAGTTTTTCAACCTTTGAATAAGAACAAATTTGGATGGAAAACAGTTAACACTAGTGCGGTCATGAAGCAGTTTATCTTCGCCTGATTTTTTTCCCCTCCTTTTCCAAAAAGTGAAAGGCAATTTTGAAGGAACTATAAACCTATGTGGTCAGTTGTTTAGACTGGGTGTGGGTGAGTAATCTTCTGGTGACAATGCACTGTTGTAATAACGTGCTTCACTTTCAGTCACTTTCGGTAATTCTTAAAGTGACCACGTAAATAATCACGCCAACTCATAAGGATGGATGGGCAGGAGAAGGAAGACGTGAGGGAGGAGGGAGAAAAGTGAGAGTGGGCGAGTATGTGAGGAAGTGTGAGCTCATGTACGTAATCGGTAAAGTCTTGCGTACTGTCAAGGAACCATCTGCTACAGTTCCTCTTCCTCAGTACCTCCTCCCTCTTCCCAGCCAGTTTCAGTTCTCCACTGAAAGGTCACATCTCAGGATGAACCACAACCAAAGAATAGGAATGGTGAGAATGTGAAACAGGGAGAGAACTCCGTCAGCTCTGGCCTCTGGATGTTTAGACTACTGGTCGTTAAAAAAACTCTAGTCACTGTCTTATACACCTCTCCGGTCCAACTGTGTATACACATGATTATTTACTATTTGGCCCACGAGATTATATCAAATCTGTACTAGAGTTGGCCCGCTAGTATATAGCTCTGACAGTATATACTGGCATACTGTAGTATTAGCATTGTATGCACTGTGTTATAGCACATACAATTTGTTTTTTGTTGTTGTTGGCCAGTGAAAAAAAAAGATTTACATTTAAAAATAACTCTAAAGGCTACAGATAAAAAGACATAATAAGAAATAAATACTTATTTCTCATGTGTCTATAATATTAAGTTTCAATGTTTAAACAAAATATTAAATTTAAAAAAATGACAATTCAAGCAAGTCATTTCAATGAGGAAAATTACCACATTGTCAGGAAATGGTGCAACCCCAGTACGACTTGTGGGTGGAAAACTCAGACTACCAGAGAGAGAAGATGAAACAGGGACATCAACACAGATGTTGGGTGTGGGTCTGAAGACGCACGCGTATAAAGGAGCAGGATTAAAGGGATAGGGAAAAACACTTACGGCTTCTTCCACAGGTTCCCGAAAGTCATCAAAAGCAACAGCATGCGCCTTAATCTGCCGCCTGCTGTCCAAACAGACAACTTCCTGCGCTCTGAGATGCTTCAGTCATGTGGTGGGATCACAGCCTTCTACTTCACTCCTGAGCAAACCACCTCAGAGTGGGACCATTCAGGACAAATATGCCTCTGTTTTAGAAATCTGACTTATACTTCTGAGCCAAAATCCTGATAGTTGCATCAACATTTGGTCATTTCAGGATTTGGTCAATGGTCTCTAAATTACAGACTTTCCAGGTCAGGAATAGTCTTGAAAATGTAGCCTCCAGGTCAGAAGAGGCGTTCATGTGGAAACTGGTGGGTGCTGTGGTGGCAGTGGCCAACATCCTGTGACTACCACCCTCATAATGCCCAATTACTTTTACATACCACCACCCTTTGACCTGTTCATCACCTGCCTTTTCCACCCTTCATCTCCGGCTTCATTTCCACAACCTCCTCCTCTTCCTCCTCCTTCTTCTCTCACCACTTAAATTTTGATGTGAGTCGGTCACAAACCAGTGGTAACTCTGAACTTTTCCCAGTCATAAAAATGCTTCTTCACATTTTATTGGTTGACGACGTGAATCAGCGTAACCCAATTTCCCTCTGGAAAGAATGGAGGAGGAAGAGGAGGAGGCGCTGCTCAAAAACTAAACATCGAGTCAAACTGATCCTGGGAACAGATAAGGCTCCCTTCTTCCACTCACAACATATTTAAAGTTAGGATTTAAAAGAAATCTATCCATCTATCTGCCTGTTTGTCTATCCATCCATCCATCCATCCATCCATCCATCCATCCATCCATCCATCCGGATCTGGATAGATAGCGTAGCGTAGCATTGCGAGTTCAATCTTGTGGGGCTGATTGTTTACAGGATTAAATGACACAATAACTAGTCACCCTGACACAAGTCGACTGTGTGATGAAATCCCTGAACACAATCAATTCATGTCTTAAGGAACAACAACCAAACATGACTCTTTTCATCTGACAGCACAGTCACAGAACTTCTCAGAAACACTGTGAGTCACCCCGTGTTCAGCCCACCTGCCCAGGCATGTAGGCCCTGGTGGTGTCTCCATGGTAAGAGAGAGAGAGAGATCATGTGACCCAAAGAGGTACAATTCACCAATTTATCAGTGTGTTCAGTGTTAATTCTGATTTAGTCTTTTGAATGACACACTATTTAGTTTTAGTAATTTTTGTTCTAAAATCTTTTAGTCTTAGTCAGAGTTTTAGTCGACTAAATTTGATGAGAGTTTTACTCAGGCAAATCGACGGTAGTCTACATTTATCCAGTCTTTTAATATATATATATATATATATATATATATATATATATATACAGTATATACAGTATGTATATATAGTCAGTACTGTAAACATTGTCCTTAAACCTACAGTAAATCATCTCTGATCCTCCACCAAAACAAACATTCTTATACACAAAAATGCAAAGAGATATTGGTTTATTTCTGAGTAAAAATATACAATTAGTCACATGATTGACATGATATCCTATGAATCAATTTAATCAGTGCCAGAGAATTAACTCCTAAATGTCAGTAAATGTTGCTTAGATCAGTTAACGTGTAACGTCCTGTAGGAGGACAGCTCAGACTCGGACGTACACTGGTCTCACCACGAACTGGTAGGTGTACTGGCTGTCAGGACAGGGGTAAGTCAGACCATGGGTGGCATTTTTAGTGACATAAGCCAGGTCGCTCTTGAAGTCCTGGATGTGACAGATGTATTTGCCTTGGCAGGACAACAGGAGCTGGTTCTGATAGACAATATTGTTGCCATGGTAATGGCTGTGGGAAGCTAGCCTGGCCATGGGTAACGACTTGCACTGTAATCGTCTGTTGGAACAGTCATAATGACTTCTGTAGATATTTGCCTCCCAGTTAATGGTTTTGGAGCGAAAGATCAGGCTGTTGTGCGAAGGCGTACTGAGGGATCTGCTTGAATAGCTGGGGGAAATAGTGACGCTCCAGGGATAATCAACGTAGAGCCTGGGATGATAATCCCGTTCTTCTCTATCAAATTTAGGATTGGTCAAGAGGTCGCTAAAGAGCAGAACATTGAACTGGAAGGCTTTCAAAATCTTCTCACTGTAGAGTTTGGAGTGATTATTGTAAAGGGATGAGTTGGTCTCCAGGACGTACAGTTTCTCCACTGGGATCATTGGGAAGCGAAGACAGTTCAGGATGAGGGCCTGGTCTTCCAAACTGATGGCTTCATCCTTGTCTGTGATCCAGTTCTCCACACTCTGGAGCACAAAATACTCGTTTGGTACCACCAGGTCTGAACGGACTAAAATGGCTCTCAGGAGCTTCACAGAGATGTCGGGCCAGGCTGGAGAATTGGTCAGGTTTTGGAAGTTCCAGGACAAGTACTGGAGGCAATTTTCCTGAAGAACCAAGTCCTCAGTTTCCACTGCATAGTTATAAATGGACACCTGAGTGTGAAACAAAGTGTCCTCAGGCAGAACTTCGGAGAAGAGCCTGGCTGTGCCTTCCATCAGATGCTTCACCTCAAACATGGAGGCCATCCAGTGAAGGCAGTGGATGGAGGACAGGTCCACATCGATCTGACGGGTGTAAATGTACCTATAAACAAAAAGAAAAAATCATTAATATGTAATATTGTTTTTGTGTTATTAGAGTTATATCAAGTCATGCAGTCGCAGTAAGGTGTGAGGGACACAAGTGGCACTTGACTGCCCTTTAGTGGTACATTTTGTTATTTCACAAGGTTATGATACAAAACTGAAACAAAAGAAACACATCCATTTATTTACAGAACTAATTGAAGTGGACATATAACAACACACACAACAGGTTTGTATTTAGACAGCGCCAATACTATCTAATAAAAGCAATAATAATAATAATAATAATAACTTGGAATGCTTTGGTGAATTTTAGTAAATTAAATGTAAAAAAAACACAATGCATTTGACATTTTTTAGTGAACAGTATTATGAGTCATTTTTTTAGGTATACCTTAGGAAGGTAGGGAAATACGGTTTGCAGGACTGGCTGATATCAACAGTGATGTTGGAAACCCCCTGTGAGGCATTAAAGCGTGGGACAAGCAGGAGGATCATCTTGTGAGCACAGATCATATCTTCTGTCTCGTACTCAAAACGGTGTCCAGTGGGACTCCTGAGAATTATCAGAAAGTCACAGCCGACTTCACTGTCAAACAGTTGACCGAGCTCGTCGGACAGAGAGAAACTGTGGTCCAGGGAGTAGATGGCGTTCTTGGAATTATTGTCTGTAAGCACAAATCTGTCAGCATGTGACCAAAATGAAGAAGAACAAATATACACATTGGATTAAGGTCTACCGTTATTTTCACAGATAATTCCAACATCCTCTTTGTGGGTGCAGTCAGTCACCCCCCAGCTTTTGAAAGCACAGTTAAGGAGATGTTTCTCTGTGCCCTGACAGATCATGTCGTCCATCCAAATAGGTCCAGTCGCTGTATTAAAAACATCACAGAGGGAATCGGATTTCAGATGTGGCAGAGAAATAACTCTATGGTTTTTGTTCATTTACAAGGTCAAGAAAACCTAAAACACACGTTATCATTTCAAATTGGTCAATTTTTCAAGGAGAACACACTTTTCAAAAGGCACCTCCAGCAGCTTTGACAAGTTTTTGCCAAATTTTATTAAAATTTTTCACCAAGATTAATTGGAAACCTGTAAAAAAAAATTGAAGCCTTGCAGCAGGTCCTAATCACGCTTCTGTTTTTTTTCTTCTCAAAACAGAAAAAAACATTTAAAATATTAAAGACATTACTATATTATTTTCATCCATAAAGATGCTTTTTCTGTTTGTGAACAAAATAAACAAGACAATAACCGGTTGAGGGTAATGCATATACGTATGAACACGAGGGCAATACACTTGCTGCCCTCTAGTGGTAGATTAATGGAACTGTAGGGCACCTTCTCCGTACGGCTGTCCGACTTGAACACCCTTTGCTCCAGAGAAGCGCAGTTGTCGACACACCACTTGGGCCTCGGCGATGTCCCAGCCATCGTCACACACTGTTCCCCACCGGCCGTCATGATAGACCTCCACCCGACCCTCCGAACTGCTCCTGGAGCCCGCCAGCCTCACGTCACCTTCCTTAGGCGCCGCTATATTCTCTGTGTGAGCACAGATGACAGACATATTATTTGTGTATAACTCTAACCCTAACCAACCAGATCATGAACGTCAGGTTTTAAAGGGAATACTCGATCATGTAATCTGATTCCCACTTTGCATATTTTTGGACTGTGGGAGGATATTTTGATTTGTATTCATGGAAATTGAAGCTCACATAACCATGTTTTTTATTTACATGAAAGAACTCCTATAATGTGTTTTCTGATAAAACTCACCGAACAGGTCAAATGTAAAAGCTCCATCAGCCACATGGAGAAGCAGAAGCAGAACCCAGATCCTGCAGAAGTTTTGATGTGTCTGCATTTTGACTCGCCACTGACGAAATCTGACCCAAAGAAAGAACAAAAACAAATCAGTGTGAGGAAGTACCAGTACTTTTTTTTTTAAAGAAGCATTCGAAGCTCATAGTCTCAGACATCACATCAAGGAGCAGTTTATTAGCACAGCTGGGTTTTTTTTTTATTTTTTTGGTTAGTTTTTAGAGAGGCAGATCAGAAAAACAGTTTACTCCAAAGGTAAACAGAGAAGAAAGAAAACTCCCCTTTCAGTAAAAAAAAAAAAAAAAAGTTTGGGCAGAAAAAGGAGAAAGAGGAGGTTCATGAAGCAATATACATCTCATATATGTTTACTTGTCATTACAGTGAATTATGTACTGGCCAATGCATGTAGACATCAGCTTCTTAGAATTTACAGCTACTTTAACCACTTTGCATTGCAATATTGAGCTGTAGATCATGTTTTCAAGGCTTTTTTCATTTAAAGATTTTTTTATTTCGTGTAAAACATGTATGAATAGTTTTAAACAATTACATTTAAATCATTTCTTTATCCTAGGAGAGGAGAGGAAGGGCCCGCTGCCTTCCTTTATTCTAACCAGATAAATCTTTAGAGGTGTTGTCCGTGAAAACCTAGCCTGTCGTTTACTCCAGAGTCTTTACAGTAATATGGAATTTGAAAAGTCAAATTATCTTTTTATGGTTGACTATAAATGAACACTATTAGTACAACATAAACACAGAGCATATGAAGACCACTTTTCTCAGTATGTTTCAAGACTACTTCCCCTTCAGTGCCCACCTACCCCACTCAGTTAGTCTAGATGACCACACTTTTCAGGAATGTGCACGAAATAAGTCCAAATTAAACAGAAAGTAACATTTTTCTACGACAATGTATCTCACCTCCTTTTCCTGCTGTCCTCAGATGTGCCGTCTCCTTCCAGTGTTCAGTCTTCAAGTCAAGTCTCCTGTGCCCTGAAGTCTGCCTAAAAAGGTTTTTTGTTTTCTTTTTTCTAAACGCAGGAACTTTGGGATAGACAATAACAGTTTCATTTCTACAATCCTCCTACTTTCCTTAAGTTTCATTCCGCCCACACAGTCTGACTTTGACATCGTTGCACAACGTCCAAACTCAGGTTACATAACACCTCTCCACCAAGGGTGAAAGGTTAGATCTCTTCTAATGAAACCATAGTTTGTTGAACCATTGGTTCATTCGTTTGTGCACTTACTTCAGTTAAGTTATTTGTGGGGTTTTATAGGATTGGGTTTTGCACATACTAGACTTTGAAAATACTGCTTAGTACACAGCAATACATTTGCTTGTTGCGGAAATTTAACCAGACAACTGCTGACATTTAGCAAATAACTGCAAAAACAGGCAAAAAAGCCAATTTAAAAAAAGAAATGTAGTAAAATTTCACCTCATGAGGTAGCTAATATTTAGCCCAAAAGTTGGCAAAGTCAGAAAATAAAGAAGATATTAGGTTAGCCGAGAAAAAAGGAAAGGTTATGGCATAAACACTTAAGTCTGTGTAATTAAATGTTAGCCTTCAAAATTATTTACAAATATTGAAGACAGCTAAAAATGAACTAAATTATAGATGGGGGATAAAAGCTAGCTACAAGAGCAATACATTTTTTTAATAAAAACTAGCGAAAGATTAGCTGAGAGATGGTTGAACAAGGTCTACATATTCGTTTCCTGCCCCAGACAAAATAACCTGAATTGACAAAGCATCATTTTTCCCACATTAAAATCCTTCAATCACTGTTTTTTAATAAAGGATATAAACACACTGCATTTTGATGCACCGTAAATATGTTGAAATTGACGATGGTTCACATGGACGAAAAGGGGACATTTCGGATTTTCCCACAGTGTGGAGTATGTGCATGATGAAAATGATTTTAGGGGGCAAAACAAAATCACAGTGTGAAGAATCACACAATTGTACATTCATTCAAAGAATATGTGCAGTCCTGCAGGGACACACCAGTGTCCAGGAAGGAGATCATGCGCCCAAACTCAGTCTCTGCCAGCAGCAGATTAAAACGCTCCTGCTCAATTACTGAAGCTCAGGTGGAGTCATGTTTTAGTCAGAGAGCAGCAGATACATTAACTTAAACATACTTAAACACAGAAAGACAGTGCAGTGTCCTCAGGAGTGTCCCTCAGTCTCAGAGTCATCTAAATGAACTCCAGGCCTTCATATTTCACGTCCCCGATCACTGTTTCAGGTAAGAGGATGCGTCCGTCAAGGGTGAAGGCCGTGATGTACGTCGCGATATTTCCGGCGTCCTCCTCTGACTTGAGGGCCAGAATTATCTGGTCATCTGTGTTGGGGACAAATTTGAAGGAGGAGAAGCCATGAGTGGGGTTAAGGGGACCCACTCGACTCACAATAATGTCTTTAAAATTGGGCGAGCAGCTCAGGGCCAGGTTTGTGCCACGGCGCTCGTCTGCCACCTCCTCGTAGCGCTCGTTGCTGGCTCGGCGAGGGAGGAAGAACCAGCGCTGCAGGGTGTCGCTCCAGGCTGCAGACTCGTGGATGAGATAACCTGTAGGGAAGAAAAAGACAAACAAAGAGTCAAAGGTGAACCTTCGTGGAGGCCACTGTGAGTGAGAGTGGATTTCTGTCCTCACCTGGAGGCTCGATCCCAGCAGCCACCTTCAGAGCTTTGTATTTGGGGACCCAGTTCTCATGTTTTATGTCCCCTTCAAAGCCAATAACCTTCACCCACTCTGGGTTGTTGTTGACAAACACCCCTTCAGTGGTGGTCCACTCCTTCCCCAGACCACCAACGTACAAGTGTTCATCCTTCACTGCCAGCCACTCAGCTTTGAAGCCTGTGGGTGGAATGAAAAAGCAAAGACAGATGAATGAAAAAGAACAGATCTATTGGTAATGAGGTGATTGACAAACCTGTAACATTTCTGAACCAAACATTATTTAAAGCAGTGTCTCTAAAACACTTAGAAACATCCCAAAGAGAACCACCAAAAACAAGTGTAACAAAAAAATGTATGTACAGTAGAAGACAATAGGGGGCGCCAAATCCCTACCTTGGCCTGGTTACATTAAATGGAAGAGCAGACTGTGTGGGTACAGTATAAGTATTTGTAATATGTATGAACATTTCTCTACTGAACCTCTGTTTATTATTCATCCTGTTTCAAATTATTCTGCGTTCTCGTCCACCGACCTTTTGGAACATTGCCATCGCCATCAGGCAAGATGACCCACGGCACGGCCTTGCTGCCGTCGATGTGGTACACCACACCCGTTCTGTCATCCACGCTGTAGAGCTTCCCGTTGAAGACCACAAGCTCGGACAGTTCCATTCCTCTCCCACTCTCCGACAGGTGGCTCTCCAGCACCACGCGGTCCGTGTCCCACTCCACTGCCACCTTATCGCCACTCTGGGACACCAACAGGTACCCACGCCGCATGTAGCTGAACCACGTCTGCTTCTTTGTGCTCTTAGAACTGTGGTCCAGATCGGCAATGACTCCAATACGATACCGCGTGCCGTGCGGCGTGTGCTCTGGTGGACTGAGAGGGTAGGTGTGGTTGTAGAGGGAACCAAACTGCCAGGTGTGGCTCTCAGACGCTCTCCCATTACTATGGGTGGTGTAAGGCTTGGACTGCAGACCTGAGTTTAGGTGCATCAAGAGCAGAAGCACTACCAGCAGGGAGAAGGCCACTGCTGCTATCGGTCTCCACTTAAGGCGGAAACGAGGGTCCGTGTTATTGGCCATTGAAGCCAGCATTGGGAGGCCTCCTACAGAGATGTGCAGGGAGTTCATGGACTCATGCTGCTCCTTTTGAGTGATGTCTGGGGTGGCCAGCATGGAAGACAGAGGACTGGACTGACCTGGCGGACAGAATAGGTGTAATTACAAAAGAAGTAAGGAGGAAATTTAAAAAAAGTTTACAGAACTCTTACAGCTGTAAGTTGGTCACTTAAATAAATACAAGTGACAATGAAAATTAAAAACTGAGACAAAGTCCTGGGCCATGCTAAACCATTTTAGCCAAATCAAAAACTCTCATTATTTCCATGCAACTAAAGGACATTGTAAACACAAAATAGCTTGCGGCTCATAAGGAAATAAATCGTGTAGCATATATAACATCACCCCAGACGGTAGTGGAGATACTGTCCTGTTGACATATATAAAAGTACACAGATTCATCTCTCCTCGTACTGTATGCTTGTAAACATGGACAAGTACATCATTTCAAGTAAATGTCCCAGCTCTGCTGTAACCACAGGTGGACTTGGCTGTGCATTAAAACATTCACTGTGATGTGTAACAACAAACTTTATCCACACTATAGACTAAGGTGCGGACAGTGATAGTGTTTCCAGCAACAGAGGAGAAGAATCAGTGTCTGGTATAATGTATCCCTCTGACCCGAAAAAAGTACTTTCTGAAACAGAAAAAAACAAACCTTTCTTCAAACAAAGAAAAACAGTGAAAGATCTCATCAAACTGAAATCCAGACATTTAAAGGTACATTATGGTTCTGGCAGAGGTGACGGTTGAACAGTTCAATCTCACTCACATACCCAGCATTATTAGACCATCATCCACCATTAGATGGATTTAAGTGCCAGATGACGGTTAGTCTCCAGGAGTCAGTAAATATTAAAGACTCCACACGAAAGGAGTTTACTCTACACAAAGTGTAGATGTGGGTAAACATAATGTAAAAACAGGCAGGTGGAGCAGGAGGAGCAGGAGGAGCGTCACTGACAGAGAAAGAGTGAATGTAAGGACGGCGAGACTGAACAGGTGAAACAGGATATTCTGTACATAACTAAGATGACTGTGGCAACAGCTACAGGGATAACTCATCATTTATTAACTTAGATGATTATGCAGAAAGGGCTCAGATCCATCCAGGTCCTGGTCTCAAGGACTGCACTACAACAATGATACTGAGCTAAGAACACACAATACTATTATTATTATTATTTTGCTGATTGATCTTACACTGCAAAGCTAGCTGGCACAAAACCCTGTAACCACGTGAAGAGTAGAGAGGGTAGAGTTACTTTAAGTGAGGTACCTACTGTAACTTTATACCATCAAGCATTGCAATACATTTGAAATTATTTTCAAATCTTCATCATCTTCCTAGTAGCTTACAACCCATTATCTTAAAAAAAACAGCTATCTACAGAACTAACTTCTATATTTTCTACATTATAAGCAATTAAATTTTAGATTTTACTGACTTTATTTCAGCTGTCTCGTGACTAATTTGACAACATTAGGAACATTAGAATAGATTTCCTGTGACCTACTTTGAGTAGTTTTAGCTTACTTTTATGTTGCTTTATCTTTACCAGCTTACAGCTGTTTACTTTTAGCTATTTAGTGTCCATCTGTTTGCATTTAGATTTGGCTACATATTCGCATCATGGGTTATATTTGGTTAAAAACATAGGGGTTGTAAGTAATGCGGGAGTCCGGCTGAACAACTTTCAAAGCTGGTTTTGCGAAATTGTGCAACAGAAAGAGACCTTATCACCAGAATTCTTAAGGGCTTATTTGTGGCCCTGCTGTGCAGTTAAAAATTTTCATTAGTCTCTTCTGTTCCCTTAAAAAAACCTTCAAAATGAAAACTTGTGTGTACTGTGTATAACTCACTCCTGACTGAATTCCTGGGACCTTTAAACCTGGCCCTGAGGAGTTTCTTTCGCTGTGGCCTAAATATGGCTGTATTTATCCGAAAGGAGGGTAAAAGCTGAAAGAGTCTTTCATAAAAGAGGGCCCCCCTCACCTGTAAAACAGCAGTCCATTATGACAGTGGCGTTGGGGCCAACAACCTGGACTGAAACCCAAGGACACTGTTTTTACTGAGTAAAAGATTCTGAATAGCAACAAAGTAAAGACTCACCTCTTCGCCTCTTCCTACTTGACTGCTGAAGTTGTGTCATTTCATTCACCTGACTGAAAATGCTCAGCCAGCCCTGAGCTCCAAACTCTTCTTATACTCACTATTTGCAGTGCAGCTATGACTAGGTTATTTCAATGCCTGTGAACTTTATCTACACTGAGAGAATGCGGATCAGTCCAAAGGGCCACATCTCACAGGAGGCTACCACCGTTCACTCAACTGACAATCTGCTTTAGAACAGTTGAAGAGATTGATAACAGAGGACAAACAAACAAATGTATAGCTACACCTGCCTGAAGGAGAAAATCCTTCAATTCTGCAGCTAGAGTAGCTGTTCCGGCGGTTGCAACAATAACTTCTAATTCCTGCAGAAAGGTGTGTTCCTGTGACATAGCCTTGTGAGTGCGGAGATCAGCCTGATTACGACAGCAGAGCGGCCCAGCTCGTGTGTTACTTTGAATCCTAGTAAAATTAACAATTAACCTGTTTAACTAATAAACGACTTGGCTGCAAAGAAGTGTGACTGCTTACAGAAACAATGGCTGCCAACAATGTTTCTACTGGGAAATTTCTGTAGTTATCATTGACGTTTAGAAAAAAGGTTAAGATAGATAGAACTTTATTATGGTTCAGACATCCTAACAAGTGAAGCATATCGAGTCTCAACGCTTGGCAAAAAAGGAGTTTACTTTTTTTAATGCTGTTTCAGACACCATAGAGTTGTGTCCAAGCTAAAAAAATTTACCTAGAATGAAAGTAAATAAAACAACTTCTATGTAAAGTAACTTTAATATATATTTTAAGGAAGTAATAGTGTGGGGCGTTTAAATAATTGGTGGTTAATATAGCAACAGTAACAATAACTGTCAGACGTGTACAGCTCAGTGGAGCAACATAGTTCTGCAATATATTTGAATAGTCTCAACTTTATCACCACCAAAGATGATTCTGATTCTGACTGTGGGCGTGGAGTCTCTATGTGCATTTCTTATAAGACCATATAAACATTCTTATAGAAGCAGCATGTTACATCATGCCGGAATGGCCACATACGTATATACATATAAACAGGCCTGAGGGAAGCAGCAGCTACATACCATCTGTTCACCGAGAGAATTTATTATTATTATTATTATTAAAAAAAACTTGCAATCCACAGTATTTAGAGATTGAGATTTTTGGATACAGCTGAAAATGCACCCGTGTTCATTTGTAAGGCTCCCTGCTTTGACATCGTAAACAATGACATCTGGACAGATTTGACTCAAGGGAAGGAGATAGTAAATAGTTTAACTTTAGCTCTAAGGCAAATTTACACATCAAGGACCCAGGAACAGATGTGTTCACCAATGACTGGGGCTTATCATCAGGGGTTTGTCATTGGGAAGAGTGGATGTCTTCGAAAAATGAAAAATTGATGGGAAGAGTGGATGTCTTCGAAAAATGTCTCACTTCTTCAAAATAATGAAGAAATCGTTTCAACTGTGTTTTAAATTCTCATGCAAAGAAAACCATTTATTAACCATTTGAATAATAACTATAACAATAATAACTGTTATGGCTCCACAGAAAATATCACATTCTTCGTTAACATGTTTTGATCTGTCAGTGCAACTTGTCAAGTTACTCCATCTGACTGTGAGCTGTGGGCCTCACAAAATATTTTTATCTCTCTCTCTAATAACCTTTAAAACGACTGCTTTAAATACAAATTATTGATGGTCCTAATGAAATGTAAATAAGAAAAGGTATTTACCTAAATTGTATGTTAAAACCTAGGTCCATGCCAATGTAGATCAGCTCTGTGTGTGTGTGGATGTGGACCTAGTCTGCATCTCCGTCAACCTTAACTATGTGTGCACCAGATCCTTGTGTGTTTCTGCGTGTGCGTGTGTGTGTAAAGTAAGTAAGTAAGTAAACGTGGACGTGCCTTGTTGGAATCTGGTTTCAAAGTTAAACTAGTCTAATATGCGGACCTGGTTCAGTTTGTGGAACGAGTCTGATCTTTGAACTTAGTCCAGTGTTACAGTGAAGTATTTCCTTTACCATTGACAACCTCGTGTCCGTCCTTCAGTCTGGAGGACTGAGACCAGACCACGGAGAACACCCAAACCCTCTCTTTGTGTGTGTTTGTGTGTAAGAAGAGTAATTTGTTAGCTTGTGATTCGCCAGCAACGCAGAGGTTAACACAGAACACGCACTGTAGACTACACGGACATACACACACACACACACACACACACACACACACACACACACACACACGAGTGTGTCATCAGTAGTGTCACGGAACTACAAAGCCATGTGCTGTAAGGACTCACCGCAGAAGTTGGCCCTTCAGCTACTGCGTTTCTCTGTCGTTTGTGGATAAGACGTCATTTTTGCCACAGTGTCGCCCTTCGCACTCTTCCTCCGTTTTTGTAAAGAAGCCTCGATCATTACTTCCTGTTACCGATGACGTCACAGTTACCAGCACTGCCTGCGCGCGCCGCTGCATTCTGTCAAACGATGCGTTTAAATGCAGTAGGATATGTAAAATTACGGTCTTTACATTTGCATTAGAACGTTAACACAACTGTTTTGTTGTATGACTTATTATGAATTTAAATTTTGTTATAGGGAAAAAAAAGAAACTTTAAATTATAAAAGGCTTCCAAGCTGTTGTGTTACAAAAGTCTTAAATGGTAAATATGTAAAAGAATAACAGCTTTAAAGGCATCTATAAAACCAAATGAACACGCTGCTACCAAACTCCAGACAGGGAATTGTACAAAACATAATTAAGAACATAATATTATTTTTTTGTACTTGGCTTCCACCCAGACCGCGGTAACAAATTTCTTCATAACCAAAAGGTCTAGCTCTTGAAACCACTGACTGAACTTCTTAAACTTTTGTTCAGCATTCCTTCCTTTCCAGCAACACTGTCACTACTCAAATATTTACCAAGGGTGATAACAGACTATGACCAGGACATGGTTCTGGAAGAGGATACAAGTAGCAGACGAGGCTCCAAAATTAGGTCAATTTTTATTTGACACACCCTGTGTTATACAGAACACTGTATAAGGCACTTTGATGAGGAAACACTTCAAAGTGTCATAATAAAAGTTTTTGCATGTTGTAAAGCATTCCAGAAAAAAAAAGCATGATTGTCACTAACCCAACCTAAAATAATCATGTCCAGAATAAATATATCAATGACTGAACCTGCTCTGCTTAGAAACCTCTTTAAATGCAACTTCTACAACAAAGGTAACCTAAAAGGTGGATTTAAGCCATTAACAGCTCTGTCAAATTATACATTTGAAACTAACTGCTCCCAGTGTCAGTGCATACAAGCTTTTATCAGTGGTTGACAATTAGTGAAAGAAAGAAAAGGGCAGTACAGTAGTTAAAGAGAGATGAATTTAACACCAAGTGGGCCAAAAAATGATAAAGTTTCAGAAATATTGGCTGAATTGAACATTTGACAGTATTACATAAATCTGCACCACACAGTGATGGTTTATAAAGAATATTTTTTTAGAAATTAAAGCTGATTTCTTGGCAACAAAAAGAAGGCCGTTGGTTGAATTGTGCTTCAATATAAGCAGCTCCTTAGTTGCACCTCAAAAATGAAAGTAAAAAATGAAACAAACAAAGGCACTTGAACAACTTCAGGTGAATTGGTTAGTTTAACAACGACTCCTTCAAACAAAATTCAATTTTTTTTAGAGTTTACCTACTGTGTGGATCACTGCAAAAGACAAAACCAAACATCCACCGGACAACTAAAAACAATGAATCAAACTGAAAGGCATCAGTGCACTCAAAACATTTGCAAATACTTTTGCAAGAGGGGGGAAAAAATAGGAGTGCAGAGAAGAGTTCAGGATGCAGATGAAAACTTTGGCACATTTATTCATTTAAAAGAAAACTCCCCGATTCGGTTTGGTGTACGCGAATGTCAGTTATTTAATAAGACGGAGGTTGGTATTCCCCTGTGTGGTCCTGGTTGTTGGTGAAAGGCGACTGCTGGTACCCAGTGGGAGCACTGGCAGGTGGGTATGGAGTACTGTGGTCGCTGGCTGGGTCTCTGTAGTCTGTGTCAAACTCGTTCACACCTTCGCGGTACCTCGCATATGCAAAGTAGATCAGAAGACCCTGAGGAGACGGGTGAAATGGCGACGATAATTTTTTTTAAAAAAAAGCTCTTACAGCAGGATTTGTTAACCAAATTAGGGCCACAGGATGAAGGCACAAGTAGCTCACCCAGGTGATGATCGAGAAGAAGCAGAAGGCCACGATTGCACGAGCGGCATCAGCAGGTATGATAACAAGACTAGTGCTGGGGGTGTTGGACCACTGGTTGGCCAGGAGGCAGAAGCAGATAAACCAAAGCAGTGTCCAAAGTGCTGTGAAGCAAAGCAAAGCAAAATATGTCACAACTTCCTTTTTATTGTGTTTATGGTAACGTTTCAGACACTGTGGCCCCATTCTCACCTGAGAAGCCCAAGTCGCTGAGGACAATGTATTTTCTATCTTTGGCATTGCTGATCTGTGGGAAGTAGGCATCCAGGATGGTGAAGGCCACACAAGCCAGAAAGGCTAGGACTCCAATTGCTACCCCAAAGCTGCAGGCACTGTCATTTTTATTGAATATGCATTTGGCATCCTGCTCCGATGGTATGTTAATGTAGCCTTCTCCCGTGATGGTGGCAAAGACCACAATTGAAAATAACTGCAATTGAGAAATCAGCTTTCACAATTCTAAAGCCATTTATTTCAGAAAACTCTACATTCAAGAACATGTTAAACCTAGCTGCGTCTGCTTACTCCCTTCCGTCCAGTAGCTGTAATGCCTGGTATCATATGTTAAATGCATTGGTATTGTTTAAATCATGAATGTGGAACTTCCCTAAATAGTCTTTAACAAAAAGACAAAACAAAAGTACATCTAGTTTAAAGCAAAAACACCACTACAATACTTACTATGTATAGACAATAACAAGGCACCAGACTAGGTAAATATAAAACACAAAGAACATTTGTTGTAGGGAAGTCCCTGCTCCATCAGTTTCTCATCTCATAATATTCAGTCATTTTTGTTGAAAGTAGACATCTAAACTATTTCTATATTGAACGTATTACAAAATATACTGTTTTTCATTTATATTCAAAATTTAAAGCAACAAACCTAATCAGAAGGGTTCAAAACTTTGGTTTTAAGGAGTATTACATTTGAAAACGAACTTTTAAAAATATATTTATTTATACTTGTTTGTTTTAAAAATGATTTATTAAAAAGCTAAGTTTGTAGTTGTTCCGAAAATGCATGTTTTATCATTAGCATCGACATGAAGTTTAAGAGCAAGTCTGCTGCGCAACAGGTGACGCGGGCAAAATATTCACTTCCTCCATATTTTAATGGCAGTGTAATTTAATATTACATTAAAAAAAACAAGCCACGTCTTCAGTTGTTTCGAAAAATGTCGCCATTTTCATTACATTGATTATTAGTTATCTGGTTTATATATATATATAAATATAAAATCTATTGGCACCTGTTTTAAAAGACGTTTTAACCATTCCTGGCAGTTGGTCAGGTGACACAGCAACTGTCATGCTAACTAACATTAGCTTCGATCAACTTCTGCTGCAAACCACAGTTTGTATGACAAGTTATAGAACATTGTACTGTGAATTTAGGGGTTCCCTCTTGTCCGTGTTAAATGTCAGGAGATGCTGGCACTGATAAAATGTCTAAAAAAATTGATTTAACGGCGTTTTTCTTCACACATCTGTTAGTAAAGTCAACACCTAGTGACAGCAGGCTAATAGTGTTGCTAACTATGAACTTACCCAGCTGAGGAGGCGCAGACAGGTCTGAGGCTGCCTGATAAAGCTGCCTACATCAAATGTGCCACCGGCCAGAGAGGCTCCGTAAGCGCTGCCCTGCATGTTTTTGACCGCTGTTTTGACTACGGTTGTTTATCTAACCGCACAAGACAATGTTGATGTCCACTGAAACACAGTTGGGTTTAGTCAAGACCTGTTTCCTGAAAACTTTCTATAAACACGCCTCCTTTGTCGTGGTGAGTTCAGGAGCTCCTTCGAATTTTTAGGGATTATGTAGCTCCGAGTAAATATCAAATAAACACTTCCATTTTGTTTGTTGTTGTTGCTGCAATTTGACGAATCCACCAATTACGTCTATGCCAGTTATTAGTAGCAGCTGCTGCTTGGATTCCAAAGCATGACCTAAGTGTTTCCTTGATAAAAATATATTATTTTTGTTTCACACTCTTCAAAGCTTTGATGTTCAAAGCTAAATCGCCCCTGTCTTTCATCTATAACTTATTTCTTTTGTTTATTCTGTCCAAGTAGACCATATTTAAAAATTCATGTTAAGGATAAGAGATTATTGGTTGTAAACCAAAAGTACGTTGTCTTTTGTTGTACGACCTTGAAGAAAGAAAGACCAGAAGAGGGCAGTAATGCAACAATAATACAGAAACCCATAGATAGAAGTTTAAGCGCTGAAAGAGATATTGGTAGTGACGTTATATTATAGTTAATATCCCTTGCGTCATCGTTCACATTAGGCATCCGTTTTTTACGCTGGGCAAGATGTATTGCATAACAGGTCCAGGATAAATAGCTGGTGATCTTTGGGACGCCAAGACCCTTTTTGAAAATATTGTCAATAATTAAAATAAAAAGAAAGTAGTCTGTTATATTATATAATATCTACCATTGTATATTTATAATTATATAAAAAATTTAGTGAAAAGTGAAAATGCCCTACAGACAAGCGTTACAGAGGTGTTACATATATATATATATAAAAAAATATATATATATACACATACATACTGGCGTATTTCTTCTCACATCCTACTTTTTTTCCACAGAATTGTTTGTAGCATGAATAATAATATGAATCCTAACACACTGTATATACCAGGAATCCTGTGTTAATACACCGTTGACACTATTGCTCTTGTAGCTCTTTTTAAATAAAAACTGAAAACCTTTTCAAGTTTTCCACACCACGAGTCATTTTCATGACCTGTAAAATATAAATGATTTTCCCATATACTGTCAGACTATGTCCGTTAGATGGCAGCACTGCATCTTTCTACAGACATAACGAAAGAGCGCAGCAGGATGTGTCACATAATGGATAATTTTACATCTATTTTGTCCTTTGGGTGTTTATTCCTACATGTACATCGAACAAACTAGAATGTCTCAGTTGTTGTCAACCAGGCACCCGACATAATATCAGACAATACATAACACAAAGCTGCTCAGTTGTTTACTTTATTAGCTCCGTGCTAGTTAGTTTAGGATATTAGGAATATTAGGAATTTTAAAGAAATTTCAATTAAAAGGTATAAAATTGAATATTGAAATAATAATAATATTACTAATCCCTAAAAGCTGTGTTTAACTATAGACTTCACTAGACAACCCTGTTTTTATAGTTAATTGTCTCAGATGCTTAAAATATGTGAACAAAAGTAAAATGTTAAATGTAATTCTAGGTACAGTGTTAAACTCAACGTTCTTGTCCATCTAATCACAAACACGATTACGTCCTACTAACCCCAAAAGATTCTGTATCAGAACATTCGTTTATTATTATTATTATTATTATTATTATTATTATTATTATTATTATTATTATTATTATTATTTGACATGTCATGTCAATACACTGCACTAGCCACCGGTTTTACATATTGCTGGCCTAACTTTCTTTTCCTTAGATTGCTTAGCGTCTTTATTCACCGGAGTACAGAGAAAAATAAATCATTCCATCTTACTGTAAGAGAAAATTGAAAGAAAAAAAATCTGTTCATGTAAAAAAAATGAATACACAAGTGTGCAAACAAACATGTGCACAGACAATCATACGCTGTGTGTACACACACTTACACACAGACGAAACGGGGAGCTGAGGTCTCCCCCACGGGGCATGAACATGGATTAATGTGCCCAGCATGATTATTTAATTTATAACTGTCCTGGACCTTTTCAGATAAGACCATTTTTCAGGTTGCCATCCATTAATACCTTTAGACTGCATCTATTAGGCTGCCAAGCACTCGGCGCTCCATTTAAAGGGCCAGCGCCCTCCCTGTTTGGTGGTCATTGTGAGGCAAGCAAAAAGCAGAGTCAAGGTTGGCGAATGGTATCAGAAAAAACCAAGTTACTCCCACAGGACCAGAGACCAACACATAAAAATTCATGGATGAAAAACACAAATATCTGTTTTGAAAGCTTGATTTTTTTTTCCAAAAAAAAAAAAATATCCATAATGTGTAGTGGCTTTAAAAATTCATGAATTAATCTGAGGGCCTGTAGGTGGTCCAGCTGTCAATCATATGACCACATATTTAAAGAACATCCATTTACACTCACACTCATCTATGGTCTATTGAGAGTGTCCAGGTAATCCAGTCATGTATGTCAGTGAAGCCACTGGAGATTGAACCAGTGAGCTCTAAGGCAGGATCACTAACTCCAGTTGTTACCTTTGAACCATTAATAAAAAATATTGATTATTGACTCAAGAATACAGGTTTTGTCCTTCTGAATTTGTCACTTTTATTGTTTTTATTCGCATTTTTTAAGTATTCTTGCATGTTTCACCTTTTATATTTTGTGCTCCAACATTAACTATAAGAAGTGTCAGGGCCAATAAATCAGGTTTGATCAGGTCACCGACCCGACCTGCTGACAACAAACTACTCAGACCTGAGCAGAACAAGAACAGGTGGCCTCTGTAACGCCTATGAGGTTGTGACATTTTTGGATAATTAAAGGATGTATTATAATTCTGTGTGGAAACGTGTAATATTTGAATATTTCAGTATTAAATTGGAAATGCCCAAGTTTTATTAATCATAGCAGTAGGCTCAGTTGTTAAAATAAAAATAAATATTTCTACATAAGTAAGTATATATGTATTTGTATATATGTATGTGCGAATATAGAGAACTATTGTACGTGAGGAAGGGGAAAAATCCCTAATACAAGCAAATACTAGTCTATAAATGTTTTTTTCTATGAATTTAGGAAAATTTTAAATATAAAGTTACAGTAAATCATTTGAAAGTGTTTCACAGCACCACCTGCAGGAGAGATTTCAGCTTGCTTTAAATGTTAACGTTCTGTGCCCCAGAACAAACTCTTCGCACTTTCTGCCGCTTGCGTCCTTGAAGTGTCAGGGACTAAAAATCGTAACTGTGTAACGCACTGCTGTATAATGCATGGGGTCCAAAAACGTCCTCTCCTCCCTCTCCTGTGGCCCATCCAGACCCTCTCTGTGCCCCCTCTAAAACCACCAGAGGAAATCGGCCCATGAGACGCGCAGTAAAAGTCAAATGTAAAATGGCTGCCTTGGCTAGGATTCTCCTTCCTCAGCAGCTCAGTGATCACTGACCCTATTAATCCAGGTGTTCATTCATCTGCAGGAAGATTCTCCCACAAGCCGTTAACAGCTCACCTCACCGTGTTTGCCCTGCTCAGGCCCAGGCCCAGTCCTGGCCCAGCTCTGCGTGGTGTAACGGCTGGGGCCCACAAGCTAAGGGGGTGGAG